TTTTTTTCAGTTAATCAGAAAATGTACCCCTTCTAATTTTAGAATGCGTTTTGTGGAAATCACGTTCAAATATTAACAACGAGGTTAATATAAAGCTTTAATACGTTTGTTATATTAGATCAACAAGATTCTTTGTCTTTTTTTTTTTAATTTCCCCTGCACTTGTTAGCGTTTTAAGACTCGATATCCGATGCGTACGGTATCTAATTGTTTTAATGACCTATTTATTTTTAAACACCGCTTATATCCCAAGTGTTGTCGAGATAACCTACTCTCCCATGGAAAACACAACATACCACCCCCATTTAAAGGGCAAAAATGTTTTAAAAGTGCTCAATAAATCATGCACTCTGATGTTTTCTTTCAGTAACAAAGTGCAGTTGAGATGCGTCGACTTGACCTCATTTTTTTTTTTAATATTGCAGTTTGTTTCATAAATACTAAGAGTTTCTTTTTTCTCTAGTTAAATCTTTAACCTTAAATGTTGGTAGTTTGAATTATTGCAAGTGTCTTTCATTTTAGTGTTGCAAGTTCTCTAAACGCTTTCTAACTTTGTTTCGTAAATACAATGTAAGGCATTTTTGTTTTTTGTTTTTTTAATATCAAAATACTACAGGTAGTTATTCATATTGATGAGCACATGCAATTTAAATCATATTTAAAACAACAACATCAGAACATTTATATTACATTTATTACATATTTGCAAAGCTTTAGTTACGCACGTATTTTTTTTTCTTGTGGGGCTTCGACAAGTTTTCGGGATTTTGTTTTCTTTTCTCTCTTATATTCCTTGAAAATGTCTTATCTATTCGTACCATCTTTGAGATTTTATAAGACGTCGACTAATAATGTCTTCTTAATTCCCATTATTAAGAGTGGTCATGTGAGTATAATCCCAAACAATAATCCCAAAACATCTGTACATTCTATGATTCGAACCTGGTAAAACTATCAGATAAAGAAACACACAGTGTCAAGTATCTCTCCCTTGATATGTCAATCTTTTGCCTTTGTTAAAGGGAAAGTCATGATGAGGATCTAGCAGGCACTTTGATCCAACGTGGAAAGATTAGCTCTTGTCCTTTTCATTTTTTCCGCCATTAGAATTCTTCACGTGACGATAACTTGGACATGGTAAATCCTTAATGCAACAGTCAATAACAATATTGTTCTCATACAGAGAGGTTCTAAGCTATCTCCAGATGAACAACAGCTGTAAAAAAGACATTATAATTGAATTTTATGGTAATTATAATTTTTGACACGTTTGGCATATAAATGTTGGAACAACTATGATATCTATCTATCTATCTACATACATATATATCTATTTATCTTGTATGGAAAGCCATAGGGGACCCCCATGTCATGTTCTATATATTTCATTGAAAATCAATCCTGGCCGGTCAGGATGGTAATCATGACCATGTCAAGATTTCAAACATGACCAAGCCATGATTTTTATCATCTTGACCAAGTCAGGATTGATAACATGACCAACCTATCTTGGCCAAGTCAAGATTTATAAAATGGCCATGCTATCTTGGCCAAGTCAGGATTGATAACATGGCCATCCTATCTTGGCCGCAGTCATCATATAACATGGCCATGCTATCTTGGCCAAGTCAAGATTTATAACATGGCCATGCTATCTTGGCCAAGTCAGGATTGATAACATGGCCATCCTATCTTGGCCGGTCATCATATAACATGGCCATCCTATCTTGGCCAAGTCAAGATTTAAAACATGGCCATGCTATCTTGACCAAGTCAGGATTGATAACATGACCATCCTATCCTGGCCAAGTCAAGATAACATGACCAACCTATCTTGGCCGGGTCATGATTTAATCTTGACCAAGTCAGGATTGATAACATGGTCATCCTATCTTGGCCAGGTCATGATTCAATGTTGACCAAGTCAGGATTGACAACATATGACCATCCTATCTTGGTCAGCCAGGATTGCATTGCGCCAGGATATATTACTTCCAAACGCAGCCAAGATTTCTTCAAGCGTCAATCCTGGCCAAGTCAGGATGTATTTCTTCAAACGCAGGCAAGATTTCTTCAAGCGTCAATCCTGGCCTAGTCAGGATAACATTGCGCCAGGATGTATGACTTCCAAACGCAGTCATGATTTATTCAAGCGTCAATCCTGGCCAAGTCAGGATGTATTTCTTCAAACGCAGTCAAGATTGCATTGCGCCAGGATATGTGACTTCCAAACGCAGTCAAGATCGCTTTTAAGCGCTTCCCTAACAGCGAGAAACCGGTCGCGAGAAACCGCTAGACGTTCGCCTCAGCTGAGAATTATTAATGTAAATACAGGTAATTTTCTCCTGAATTTTAGTTTGCTGTTCTAAAAATGTATTTTACGTAGTGTTTCTTTTCAATAATTTGTATGAACAGCAACAATGAAACGCATTTTGTAGTTTTTATCGAGGAAATTCGAATTTGTCTCTTCATTTTAAACGTTTGTATACCAAATTTTAAAAGAAGGCTATTTAAGAACAGGAAGGAATATGGTATTTTATAGGTCATTAAGAATCAATATGTTACACAATACATTCATAAAAATCGATTACTCCCTAATCAAGACCTACTGCATTATATTTTGCATTGAAATGCATCTGACACATATATTATATAAATGTTACTTTTAGTATCAAGGATTTGAATCACGTCAATAATCTGACAGGAGTTTTTGTTTTACGTGTTTGAGAAAGATACTACCTGACTACAACTGACACAAGCTTAGAAACCATGCAGTTACAGAATAGAATAAAATTTATTTCCAAATTAAGGCCTCATGGGGCATATCATATAACAACTAAGGAATTAATTTCATAGCTACCCAAGTTATACTGTATAACCTGGGTTGGGGCAGTTTATGCATTATAAACGGCAAAGCTGTTCATAAAAAAAGAGTAAACTGCTCCAACTCAGATTATACCAGTATAACTTGGGTAGCTATTAAATTCATCCCTTATGATTTCATTGTCCATTATGAAGTATCGAAACTAAGTTAGATATAATACATGAAGTGAGCAACCCAGAATGGTCACTGTAAATCAAACGTTTAGAACTTTTGGATGTTTAATTCAGGGTTTGTCCAAATTTCTCAGCCACAGAGCTACTGCATTTTTGCAGCTACAGTACACCAAACATTTAATGTAATATGTAAGAATATGCAATAGTAAATCATATATATACATACATACATAATTATTTTTTTTAGGTATAGGCCATTAGATAGGCCCTGGATAGATAAATTTGGGTAAGTAAAGTTCAATTTCTGTTACTTCATTTGATCTGAGACAAACATTAAGGCCATCCTTAAAAAAATGCTTGTTTGGAATTGCAGCCTAGGAGTGTTCAGACTCAGGAGGGAGGGATTTTTTTCCCCTACAAATTGAGGTTAAGAATTTGATAAAAAAAAAAAATGAAAATTTCAATGAACATAGTTGATTTTGATTACTTTTTCTCATTCTTTTATTTTATTAATATTATTTGTGTTAAATTTGGAAATAAATATATTTAGGGTACTCAAATATCAATGTAATTAAAATTAGATGTTAGATCTGCTAATTTGTTAAAAGTAAAATTTCAGCGTCACACTTTGAGTTTTTTAAATAATCTTTTTAGAAAGATAATTTTATCAGTCTATTTCATAAGATTTCTCTTTGGAATTTTAACATGACGGACTTGTCCAGTTCAATTTGCAATCTCTGTCAATATCTCTTTCGAGGTATCATGTTCACTTAAACTGTATATCATTTCATTTATTTTTGATTCACCATTCATTTTTATGGAGATGCATACATGCTTGGCTAATCAACCCTTGTATGTTTTCACATCCAGCCTCTGAGCCTGGTGTGACATTTTGGCGGCTTTAATTTTGTTGAGGATCTACTAATTGCTATATCATAAATACAACGAAGAAAGGGTTTTATTGACCAGTGTTGTTCAAGTAATCTGGAGCTCAAACCCGATTTGAAAAAGCTATTTTGATGAACGAACTAACTCATAATAAATATTGTAAGATGATAAAACGGTTAAAAAAATATTTTCAATATTTTGCCAATTAATTTTTTCGAGCGGGGTTATTTCACTGAGGCGGATGGCAATTCCAAACAATAATTATTTTATTTTGGCCTAATTTGCATGACATTTCTATCTTTCATTATAACAAAATGATTTACAACGGCAAGGAACTTTCATGGAGCAAAATTGAGACACCTATATGTTCGTATTGAGGTACTTTACTTACTGATATGCCCCAGCCATTTATATGTGATTGTAAAAATCGATTCAATTCGGCCATCTTTAAAAAAATGTTTGTTTGCCCTTTCCCATGAGACTAACTTAAATGCCCCAACATTTTTTAACCTCCATAATACCTTTTTTTTTCATTTTATAAGCTTTCAGTTTCAGATCTCATTTAAACTATTTTATCATCATATTTGCGGTGTTTTTGAATAAAAATCCCCCCCCCCCACCTATCAACTCACTTTCTTAATCCTGAGAAGGGAAAGGACAAGCAAAGATTTTTTTTAAAATGGTGTTCATTTGCAGATAGTGTGTATTATATTATTGCCTTTGATATTACCATTTATGAGGATTTTAATTTTATTTAAATATTGCTTAAATTTACTTGTTTGTTCTTTCATTAAAGTAGTTTCAAAGCTTCCGAGCTCATGTTAAGATTTTCTTGTATTAGAATTATAGGTGGTGCCCTTTGTTGAGACCTTTACAAATTCATTATTTACTGTGTTTTAATGATTTTTAATCTGTATTTTCTGTTTATAATATTCCAAAGTAAGAGTCTCAAATCTGAAAGAAAAAGAAAGTAAATTGAAGAACTATGCAAAACTCTGTGATGAAATATTTCATTTATTTGAAACCTAAAGAATATAATTATTAACCAGACTTGATATTTATATATGTATATAATTGCTGACTTTATTCACATGTTTTTATGATTTCATCACAGAATGGCTAATCTAGGATTAAAAATAATTGATGCTTTTGAAAAGCAAGACTTATGTGATGTCAAGATTGAGTTAGCAGATGGCACCACCTTAGGAGCACATCGCACTGTTTTAATGTTAGGAAGCGACTGGTTCAAGACACGACTAAATCAGAATTGGGACCATGAAAATCCTATCAGGTGTACAGATTTTGCACCATTGCAAACAAGAGCTGTAATTGAGTTCTTGTACAGAAATGACATTGACTTGTCAATTGAAAATGTGTTTGAAGTTTTACAAGCTTCTGATTTTTACATAATTCCAGATTTAATTGATAAATGTGCAAATTTCCTTTGCAGTTGTATTTCAAATGAGAAAGTTTTGCTTGTTATCAATACTGCTCATGCCTTTAATTTAGATCATGTCCTGGAAAAGGCCTTGAGATACACAGATCACTGTTTTGAAAAGGTTTATCTGTCTAATATTGAAGCATTTTGCTCATTGGATGTAAACATTATTACAATGATGATAAAAAGGGATACCTTATCCATTCACGAGGAGAAGCTTTTTGATATTTTATGTAATTGGGTGTCATCTGAAAATAGGGATGTTCAAGCCACTTGGCAGATTTTAGTACCTTTTATTAGATTTGGCCGGATGTCTGCAGAATTTTTGATTGAGAAAGTTGTTTACAAAGATGTCATTGATAACAATTATGCTATGAAAGTAATGTCATATCTGACTTCTTTGCAGGTTCAAAGAAATTCACTTTCTGATGGAGCTCGTTCATCCCGAAAGTGCATTTCTTTGAACGATGTAGAAGTAGTCAGATTCTTTGAGCAAAGTCCAGAAAGTACTTGGACATCTGATTCCCTAAATGGTGATCGCATTTCATTTTCCGTCAATGTAGACATTGACTTGCGTGGTGTTATTTTATTTGGAAGGTTGAACACTTCTTTGTTTGTAGAAGTGACACTTTATGTAGAAAATGATTTCATCACAAGGGGTAAGATTAGACAAGATGTTTTAGATGTTAGCACATTTCCTTTCATTTTCCCTAATGTTTCACATTTACAGAAAGATACAATGTACACCATTGTTGTAAATATGTCAGGTGGAGATTGTTTTTTTGGCATAGATGGTTTACAAACTGTGCAGACTACAATTGGGATGAACAGGAGAGTAAAAGTCAAATTTTATAACACCCTTGTTAGCAATACAAACATTAGAAGAGGACAAATCAAAGGCCTTATTCTATGTTAAAAGGCAGAAAAGAGGTAAACTGAAGAGGTACTACAGCCAAATGTAATGATGATCTTCTCTGATAAAAACTTATTTTGTGTATCTTTAAGGACAGATGACATAAACAACCTGTTTTGTAATGAATGAAAGTAATAACCAAAGATATATGTTTACATATTAAGTAAAATGAATCCTTTTAGCTACATAAAAATTGTCAATTTTTCATTCAAAATTTTTCATCATTGAATTTCTTTTAAAGTTACTAGTATTTGATAATTTATAGAAAAAGAAATTGAAAATTATAGAAAAAACATTGTACTTGAAAGATATGATGCTAGTATATATGCATCATTGACAACCAGAATAAGTCAAAAAATAAATATATACCAATTAATGTATCCAGCTGTAGACTTACCAACCCATGTATCCAGCTGTAGACTTGAGTGAATTTTTCTGATCAACCATTGTCTGGCTGTCTAAGCTGTCGGTCAGTCTAGTTTTCTATACGCAGTGGTCTGTTTGTAAACTTCTCACATTTTCAACTTCTTCTCAAAAACCACTGGGCATATTTCAACTCAGCTTACCACATTCTTGGGTGAAAAGGTGAAGGGGATTACATTTTGTTCAACTGAAGGGTCACACCCTCTTTCAAGGGGAAATAGTTGTGAATTAGTGAAAATATGTTCTAGACATAATTGTAAATTCTGTAAAAGCCATGATAAGTAATATTGATATGGAAGCATCCTCCTGATTTTGTTCAAGTCAGGGCCCCTGGGATAGGGTGGGACCACAATGGGAGATCAATTAATATTATTTGAAAATATTTAGGTAAAAAGCTAATTCTTCTGAAGAAACGAAACCATGTCTTGTCATATTTATAATCATTAGCTCCTGTACAGTAAGTTAAGGTCATATGCAACGTACATGTATAATATTGTTTACAATGTAGCTTTCCCACTGGTAATTTGTCAAGATATTCTTAATTCAAATTCATTGTTCCATCATATCTCCTTAGACAAAAAATCTGCATACATTTCCAGTAGTTTTGAATAGATATGAAATAATGAAAATCCTTGTGTTTTTCAAAGAAATATGATCAAAAATATATATTTATCTGGTGTTTCCCAAAAGTTTGATTTAGAAGAGGTGTACAGCATTACCAGGCATCATAATATCACATGAAGGTCCTTCAATTTTTGAAAGTCTTAAATTATACAGGGAAAAATAAAATAAAGTTCAAAAATACGTTGCACGTGTCCTTATTAAAGTTTAAAGTTTGAGGCCACATTAGGTGCTAAAAGTTCTATGAAGGACTAATAATTATAAAAAGAAATATGTAAGATTTCCATCTATGAACAGAAAAAACCAATGTTAGCTGTGTTGATACACAAGTATTCTCAGGTGGTTTAAATTTAAGTTCAAATCAGGGCCCTGAGGGGGATGAGTTGAGGCTACAATAAGGAATGAGATTTTTTTACAAGGATGCATATAATTAGAGATTTTTTCAACACGTTCAAAGCAAGACCAAACCAATTCATATTAATAAATAAAACATTTCTAATTAAGTTATGTGAAATCAGTTTTAGGTTCAACTAGTAAGAATCGGTCTGCTGTTCAAAGATCAATTTAAAGAGCTTAAGCATTACTAAGGTGTCCTGTTTCTGTCTATGTAAACAATTTTTAAAAAAAGCTACTCATCGTACAAATGTAATTTAAATCTAAAAAGAAATGGAATACAAATAGGTGCACCAAGATACATCTTTTTTTTTATTATTATTATTTTTTGATTAATACAAACTGTGTTGTCTTAGTTACCGTATAGCTATTTTCTTTAGCAAGTACAAATTTTGGCGTTTTGTTTGCTCAAAGGTATGCCAATAATTTTGGAGGAACTATTATCATACATAAATTTCAATGATGGTGTAAAATAAAGAAAGTTTATCTTTGAGATGAGTTTTCAGTAATTTTAATCTACGTTTGATACCTATTCATACAAGAGTTTGAATAAAACTAATACCAGTTGAAAGATACATTTTTAAACAACATACAGATCAAAGTTAGCATCTTTTTGTTTAGTACTTACACAGAAGAGTGCAAATTTAGTGATTAAAATTTTAGCATTCTGATTCAAAACGGCTAAAATAAGCCAAAATTAACACCCCAATAAAAATTCTCCCTATATGGTTTTAAAAATGAAATGGATCTCTTTGAAATTTTGTCCATTTTTTATACCTCTTACAGTTTTGGTCTGATTTAAGTAAGACGTAGTATAAAGTAGACTACATAAAGATACTTAACTCTTTTGATCTGTTTTTGATGTTGACAAACAGGAATGCCAAGCTTACTAAAAAGAAATTTTATCAAATTTTAAAGAAATGCTACACCACCTGTACTTTGGGTCAGATTTCAATAATACTTAATATACACGTTGACTTGATAAATTTGTTTTGTTAGAAGTGCACAACGATAAGACTTCAGTCTTGTGAGAGACATTTGATTTATAAAATTAGAAGCTTTTGGGGTAAGGGCTGGGTTAAATTTTTACAGAATACATGTGTACAAGAAAAAAAAATGTTTTGCAGAACAGCAGAGCCATTTTGAATGCATTGAATTTGAAGTACCTTAGTGTTTTATGTATTCACCTTTGATTAAATCATACTTCCCTTAGGGGTATATTTTTTTCTCTACAAAATTGAGTGAAATTTTCATGAAATTAGATTTCGAAATTAGAACAAAATTGTGCTGTTCAAAAAAGACAGTCCACACTGACTCAGGTGAGCATTATAGCCCTTTGGCCTTCTGTTTGTTTGTAGCATCTGTCCTTAAATCTTACACAATATGTTTGAAGAGTATCTTTCATATGACAAAATATTTCATCCTGGGGTAAAAATATACCTATTTTTCTAAGGTGTGTATATTTAAGCTATACATGTAGCATTTATGTTTTGTGCTATGTAGCAAAAAAAGCAAAGTACTGTAAAGAAAATTGACATGTGTCAATGATATATGATATTTGATATAAGTTATAATAGTCAGTTATTGTTTACCTAACCAGTATCAAAAATGAAGTATTTGTCATCTTGGAAATGCATGTCATAGTCAAAATATTCTGACTAGTTTATGGAAAATTGTATCATAATTTGTTTACAAATCTCTGTAAAATGTTCCTTCATTTTTAGTTGAATATATTTTTATGTTTTTATGCTTTTCCATGAATATGGCCAAAACATATAGTGTTAATCATGTTCATCAGTCTTCATCTTCCGTACCTCCATCCTAACGTCCTTTTCTCACACATTACATTTAGCCAAGTTTCAAAAAAGCTTTTCAGAATATTTTTTCAAAAATTTATATGTTGATAGTCATATTGATGAAAGCTAATTAAGTACATTAAAATTTTTTGACCTTGACATTTTACTTTGACCTTGACTTCAATTTTCTTAAATTTGTGTTTAGCTTAATTTCAAAGAAACATTTTTAAGATATTTTTATCACACCTTATCTGCTGGTGTATACTGAAAGGAATTTTTCAAATCAATCAACATTTTATCACCTTGAGCTTTTTTCCGACCTTTTCATCACTTTTCTTAAATCTGTGTGAAGTTTCAAAGAATCTATTCCTTATACAATTATCAAACCTCGTATACTGATACATATTGATGAGAGCTATTGAAACGATTCAACATTTTTTTACCATTACCTTTTATTTGACCTTTGATGATACTTTCTTAAATAAGTGAGTATCTTATTTTCCAAGAAAGTTAAGAAATTTTTTTCAACCCTTACATGCTTTTACTACGGAAGCCGGTTGGTGCCAGGTAGAAAAAATATTTTATCTGGCGGCCGCCAGATAACTTTCTGGCGGCCGCCAAATAATTATCTGGCGGCCGCCACATAAATAACTGGCGGCCGCCAGAAACTTATCTGGCGGCCGCCAATTAATTTTCTGGCGGCCGCCAGATAAAAAGATCTGGCGGCCGCCAGATAACTTATCTGGCGGCCGCCAGAAAGTTATTTGGCGGCCGCCAGAAATTATCTGGCGGCTGCCAAATAATTATCTGGCGGCCGCCAGATAATTTCTGGCGGCCGCCAGATCTTTTTATCTGGCGGCCGCCAGAAAATTATATGGCGGCCGCCAGATAGGTTTCTGGCGGCCGCCAGTTATTTATCTGGCGGCCGCCAGATAATTTTTTGGCGGCCGCCAGAAACTTATCTGGCGGCCGCCAGATAAAATATTTTTCTACCTGGCACCTACCGGCTTCCGTATTTTACAGATTGATCAGAGCATCAGTATTTTTGATCTTGACTTTCTCTTTGACTTCACATTTGCTTTTATAGCTCTAAGGAACTATTTCGAATAATTTTCATGTTAGCTTATGCACTGATACATAAATCTGTGTCCAATTTTTTTTTTACCTTGACCTTCCCAATGAACGTTAACTTTACTATGTATTGAGTACTTAACTCAGTTTTGAAGAAAACTTTTGTGAACATTTTCGTCAAAGTCATACACTAATACAAATTTTCTGCAGCATTGCTTATGAACTCTTGCTGGGGCATTCATATCCTATGGACATATTTCTTGTTTTCTAAAGTGTCATTGTTCCAAGTACTGTACTACACATATTCAAAATACAATATTATATTTTATGTTAATATTTTCCCTGATATGATTGTTTTTGCACATGTTCCCATAATCTTGTTGTGTATCTCAAGGTCTTTTCCAGGTTTTAATAATTTTGCAATGTTACTACTGTCTGTTATCATACACTTGATATTGCAATTTGGTATGTAAGTTTGCTGCTTTCCAAAATTCTCAAAAGAAGGTTATCTTATGGAGTAAACTTTTTGTTAGCTATATTTACACTGCTTTTTAAACTAGTTTAATGATTGCAGTTCATTCAAAGTCTCAAAGCTTATTTCCCTACCGTTGAGAAATTTTGACCACCTCTTTTGAAATTATCTAGCATGTTTCTTTATTATATAATTCATTCACTCAAATCTCAATATGCATCTTTACTTTCAGTTTAAAGTAATGATAAAAACTGACATTTATGACAGAATCATCATATGCCCAATACAAAAAGGATTCACATTGCTTAATTTGTAGCAAACTGATAGATACCTACCACAATATCAACTGTATAATGAAAGAAAGTAGTAATTATACATGTAAATAAAGCTAGTTAATAATTACATGTACATTTAACCTACATATTGTTCTTTGATAAAAAAAAAATATCTGATATACATGTTTAGATTTCTGTGTTGCCAGCAGAGCAGAGGAACAATTAGGGATCACTTTAACCTGCATCTGTCTGTCTATTATAGTTGTAGACTGATTTCATATTTTGCCTAATATAGTATAGCACCATGGCTTTTGTAAAATACCTACTTCCTGAGTCCTGATATTGACCTTTGGCCTATCTTTTTAAAAGACTTCATAGTGTCATACAGTATATTTGTGACATTTAAGAGTATCTGAAGTATATTCTTTTGAGCATGTGCACTGTCATAATATATAAGATGAAAAATAACAGTGTTAAAAGTGCATTTGACCATGACCATTTGGCCTACTCTGTAAAGAAATACTCCAGATGGTTTAATTTTTTTTTTTGTTAATTTTGAAAGGCAATGTTATGATACAATAGCAACTGTGTCACATATTTATGAGCTTATGACACTTTACTTTGAAACTGCATGATATATAAACAGTTTCCACACAAACTTAAATTGTTAAATACATTTTGATTGGTATCCCACAATGGATAACTGTAGAATGAGAATTGCAGTAAAGACAGACTGAAATGGTATATGGAGGACTGTTGGAAACACCTATCGATTAAATGATAAATAGTTATTTCTAATAGCTCCAGCATTTGGGAGACATATTTCTATTAGGTTGTTAGATTCTGTTGCAGTTTTACTATCCATGGATTTTTTTTTTATTTTTTGTTTTCTTTGCAGGAACATGCATTGACTATATTGCTAGAATAGATGACCACTCTTATATTTATTTACATTTTGAATGATGCTAGACATGTAGAACAGGCGACACATGTTCCTTTTTGAACACTCTAGTTTACTATTTTGCCTGTTGTTAATATTGACTAATTGTTTTATTTCTTTGTATTGAAGATATTTGAATTGGAAACTTATGTAATTTTAACCATGGTTGTCCTAGGTGATAATTTTAAGATTTTGTAAAATACATGTATGTCTAAAGATGCTTTTATAATATCCTGGATTCTTGGTGTCCCCCTGTTCGGTAGGATTTAAGAATTACTCAATATCTTGTTTTAATATTACTTCTGAGTAAACATAAGTTTTGTAAGCTTGAAAAATATGCTGAAATCCAGTAAATATGTTTAAAAAATTTGCATGAATAAAAAAGTTGAATCCATGCAGTAAAAAATTATTTTTTGTTCATAGAAAGAAAAGCACTATTTATTTGATTACTGGCTTAGATGTATATGAATTGCATTTTGATAATCCACGTCAGCCATAATCCAGTTCATACATGTATGTATATACAGTATATGCTTAATCATACAGTTCAGGGTCAAAGAACAAGAAAAATTTAAAGAAATTCATTTTCTCTGTATCAAGACTTTAGAGGGGGGATATGATATGGTACTTCATGTTAGTTACTAAGTATAACTAATACTGTCTATTATTCAATGTTTTTTTTTCTTTGATTCACTTGATATGTGGCAAGTAAGGTGGGATAGACAAGGTGACAAGTGCACATGACAAATCTTGGCTGTTTATAAGGTTTTTATATAAACTAAATTGTAAAGGTATTTAAGAATTTTTGAAAAGAATTTCCTCTCTTGCAATGTGATTCCTTCTTATTTTCTTTAACAAAAGGAACTTGTACTTACTTCCGTAATGTTTTATTTAAGGAAAGGAAAATTGTACTTCCCTATAATGCACATTATAATGTTGGGTTACACATGTTTAGAGCAGAAAAAGTCGCTGGTCTTCATTTTTTTACCGTATATTTCAAATATTACTTAGTGTGTTTCTAAAATATTCTTTTACTACTTCCACTACAAAACTGCACGTACAAGTCATGCACAAAGCAAATTGGACCGAATTATCTTGCCAATCTGGCGGTATAAATGGCGAAATTTTCAATGGTCTCAATTTCAGGCCCAGGACTGCCCAGGAGGGCTATAAAACAATGGTTTGAGGAAATGTTTTGTTGTGGTATTATTAAAAGAATATGATAAAAACATAGGGTTAGTAAAATTTGGAGATGACAGCCTAAATAAACAGAGAAGTAAATCAACATAAATTCTGTTGATAACTTTAATAATGAAAGATTTCATACATGCATTACCGGTACTTTTGGATCATTCCTCGTATTTTTGTTATTTCAGCATCATGTTTTGTATGGAGTGTGGGGAGGAATTGTTGGAGGGGGCCAAGTTTTGCCAAGCTTGTGGTGCCTCATTAAAAAAGAAATGTGTGTATAACATATGTAAAACTCTGTAGTTAAGGAGAGGAACTTAGTAAGTTATATATTACTTGTTTTTGATGTACGCAATAAAATATGTTTAAAACATAAAAACTAAGCTGAAGTGAGCTTTTCTGATCACCTGTTGTCCTTTGTCCGTCCATCCATCTGTAAACTTTTCAAATTTTCAACTTTTCTCAAGAACTACAGGGTCAATTTTAACCGAAGTTGGTACAAAGCATCTGTGGGTAAAGGGGGGTTTAATTTATTAAAATGAAGGGCCAAACCTCCTTACAAGGGGAGATAATTAAGAAAAGACAAAAATTGGGTAGGGTCATTAAAAAACCTTTTTCTCAAGAACCACCCGGCCAGAAAAGCTGAAACTTAAGTGGAAGCATTCTGGGGTAGTGTAGATTCTAATTTGTTCAAATCATGGTTCCAGGGGGAAGGGCGGGGCAACAATGGGGAAAATCTGGTGAACAGCAGGCCAGAGTTGCTCTGTTGAGCCTTGTGGCCCATGGGCCTCTTGTTCCCAATCTTGCTTAAAAATATGGTGATAGCAAGAAGGATTGTTGATTCATATTTAAAATTGTATACTCTTAATTATTTTTTTAAGGCAACACTTCAGACTCTGGACATCCTAATGTCAAATCAGAAGGTATAGAATGTACAGGTAAGTGAGGTAACTGCTAATAATATAAAGGTTATTAGAGATTCTGTCATTCAGGAGTGCCTGATACATAGAGAGAGTATTAAACTGCAAAAATTCTGTTGTCAGAGTCAGGAAGCAATGTCCAGTTGACCTCTGGGTCCAATAATGACAGTAAGTATTTATTTTTAATTGCTGTATAAATAGATATCATATAAAGAGGAGTCTCAACAGGTGTAACCAGTTGAAGGGATTCTTTATCCTCATATTTACGGTCCCACATTTGGGGTTTTCCAGAGGTCCATGTTTTATGCTCTATATCCACTATTAGTATTGTTTAAGCAATTAATAAAAGTGATAACTGTTCATTTTGTTCACTTATTCAATAAAAATGGTTATATCACCCTGTTCAGGAATATGATTAAATAATCAGAAACATTTGAACTACATGATTAACATGATTAAATCATTTATCTTTAAAATAGGAATGATGGCAAATATAGCTAAACTGAAAGCTAAATTCATGGAGAGTAAGATTAAAATGGAGGGAAAACGAGTTAAAAGAGGGAAGAAGGAACCAGAGACCTGTACAGGTCTGGAGGTAAGAGGAATTAAGCTTAATATTTATTTCTTAAAAAAAATTGCTAATTACCAGTGAGTTGACTGTTACTTATAGGTTTGTTACTGACTGTCTACAGACGTACATCTGTACTCCCCTTGACCCACCTCTCCAGCCTTCCTGAACCCCTAGTGCCATAGGCCTGTTAGATATACTGATCAAGATGATTTAATGGAACAGAACTTTTTTAATTCTGTGAATACTTAATTCTCCCAAATTAACATTTGAAGTAGCATTTCTTGTGAAATTTCACAAAGTCAAACATTTTACCTTCAAGTAATTTTGAACTTTGAGATGTCCAGGTTAAATAAAATAAAACAGTTTGGTTAAGACTTCCAATTGACTTCAACAAGTCCGTTGCATTCACCCCATCTGTATATTGTATTTTGAACTATCTTCTTGTGCATGGAGTTATAAACTGTAATTGAAAGTAACTTGTACTTGGTCTCATATAACAAATTATTCCTTATATAGACCTTAGAAGTACGGTTTGTGGACAAGGATGAAAGGAGGTTGCAAAGGATATTTCCTGAAGGTGCCACATCCTTAAATATAGAGGTCGAGGATATATCTACTTTGGATGACTGGATGCAGATGGTGGCTTCTATGTTTAAAACAGAGTTCACCATGCATCCAGTCATCCTGAAGGATGGCAGTTACCAGGAATTGCCCTCTGGCACCACGCTAGCCAACCTAAAAAAGGGATCAAAAGGCAAACATAAAAACCACGGTTTTTATGTAAAGGTGTATGCAAGTGAGTTGTATTGATATTATTAATAAATATTTTCATTACAAAAAAAGCAACTGCAATAGAGTAATAATTTGAATTGGTTTGAAAAGTTTTTTATAATTTAAGTGTTGAGGCCATTTTTAAAGAAATGTTTGCCTGCTCTCTCCTGACTCAGAAAAAAAAAAGTTGGGTAGGATGGTTGGAACAAATTTTTCTTATTCAAAAACACCTGCAAATGTGAAGATAAAATAGAAAGCAGTGAATAAAAAAATAAATGCTTCCTGGTGGTTAAAAAAAGTTTTTAGTCGGGCCGTTTTTAGTCAGTCAGTCAGGAAAGGCAAACAACCAATTTTTTAAAGATGGCCTGATATCCTTCTCAAATTGGAAATAAACTTAACATCAATAATGAATAATTCTTTCTATGAAAAAACTAAATTTCAGCCCGGAGACAGCTTATTAAAAACCTCATTAGAGTAAGAAACTTTGTTTAAAACTGATGGTTTTCAATTACTGTTAAAAAAATTCCTCTGATCAAATTCTGTCTGTTTTCTAATGAAATTATTTATTTACAAAGACCATAAACTATTTCAGAGAATAATGATTGTTTGTGGTTTGATATTTCTAATGAATTAATTTATTCACAAAGACCATAAACTGTTTAAGAAAATAATGATTGTTTGTGGTGCATGGACATTAACCTCGAGTATTTCTTCTAAATTGATGTCACTGTTTTCATTAAAAAATCATTTGATAAGACAATATACAGAATTCAGGAAACATTTTAGCCTAAGGCAAATGAATGGAGTGAAAGTGAAAATTGTCTAAATGGAATGCTGTGTATTCCAAAATTTTGCCTAAAATTATGTAAGCTTTGAGTCCCAGTGTTTGAAATGCTGTCCAATGCAAAATGTTGTCAAATCTGGCCACTTTATTGGAAGCAGCAATGTCCAATTAAAACAATTAAGGCTTATCATATATATTTTTGATTATGTTACAAGTGTTAAATCAATGTTTTACACAAACATAAACACTGTGTTTATCAGGTATATTTTGTTTGTTGTTTAACGTCCCTCTCAAGAATTTTTCACTCATATGGAGATGCCACCACTTGCTGGTGGAGAGCTACAAATTTTTCCTATACTGGGCACTCAGCTCCATGGAGCAGTGAGAGATCTTTTTCGTGCCAGCACCTACTGCGACACAGGACCTTGGTTTATAGGGTCTCATCCAAAGGAACAGTCTCCACGTCCCACAGTGGGATTTTTGTCATGTATACTTTATACATCTGATTGTGAAAACTCTTTTCCTTTAAACTATGACAGCTAATAATACAAGGTGTCATATTTAAATTAAATAGCCAAATTAGAAATGAAGTTCATGTGAGCATGTGGTGTATTGTTTCATTTTATCACAGATTACATTTTTAGGTCACCTGAGTTTATTCAAGTGACCTATTGCAATCTGTTTTCGTACGTCGTGCGTTAACATTTTGAACTTCTTTGAAACCACTGAACCAGTTTCAACCAATTTTGGCATAAAGCATCTATGAGTGAAGGAGAGTAAAAATTTTGAAATTCTTGGCCCCTGTCTCACTGGGGCCTGATGGGTGGGGCTAAAACCATCAAAATCAATGAAATCTTTAAAATTCTTTCTCTTTACTCCCAGACATTAAGCAGTGAAACTGTTGGCATGGTTGTAATAAGCATTAAGCCGTCTACCAAAGTTGTGAAATTCATGGCCCCAGGGTCAGGGGTTGTGGTGCTAGAGTGGGACTCTGTTGAATATATACTGAAAATGCATAGTTTCTTAAAAAATCTTCTCCTCTGCTCCTGGGTATTAAACCAATGAAGTATGTACATAGTTGTGATGAAGAAGGATGCCTCTTCCAAAATGTGAATTTCATGGCCCCTGTGTCTGGGGTTTTGATGTTAGGGTGGGGTTTAATTGATTATATAGTGACAATGCATTAATTCTTCGAAAATCTTCTCCTCTGCTCCTGGGTATTAAGCGAATGAACTATGTGCATAGTTATGATGAGCAAAGGTACTTCTTTTAAAATTGTGAATTTTATGGCTTCTGGGTCAGGGGTTCTAGTGTTAGGGTGGGGCTCTAATGATTATATAGTGAGAATGCATTAATTCTTTGAAAATCTGATCCTCTGTTTCTGGGTATTGAATCAATGAATTATGCACATAGCAATGATGAGGAAGGGTGTCTCTTTCAAATTTTGAATTCCATTGCCCCTGGGTCAGGGGTTCTGATGTTAGGACGGGGCTCTATATCTAATATAGTGAAAAAGCATTAATTCTTTGAGAATCTTATCCTCTGCTTCTGGGTATTAAACTTATAAACTATGTACAAAGTTATGATGAGGAAGGGTGTGTCTTCCATAATTGTATATTTCATGGCCCCTGTGTCATGGATTCTGGTGTTAGGGCAGGGCTCTAATGATTATATAATGAAAATGCATTAATTTTTTGAAAATTCTTTCTTCTGTTCCTGGGTGTTATCCCGATGATTCAAGTACATAGTTATGATGAGCAAGGGTGCTTCTTCCATAATTGTGAATTTTGAGGCCCCTGGGTTAGGGGTAACTAGGAGGGGGGGGCTCTAATGATTATATACTGGAAATGAATTAATGCTTTGAAATCTGCTCTTTGGAATTAATCAAACATTTATAATGAGCAAGGGTGCCTTTTCCAAAATTGTGAAATGTGTGGCCCTAGGGTCAGGGGTTCCTGTGGCATGGGGCACTACTGATTATATGGTGGAAATGCATTTTTCTATTTGTTCCTCTGCTTTGCCTCTTGGTATTAAGTAATCAAACTAAGCATGCTAAGTGTACTGTTATGATGAGCAATGATGCCTCTTTCAAAATGGTGAATTTCATGTCCTCTGATTCAAAACATGAACCAAATTCAATTATTGGAAAGTTGTTCCATGATACTCAGGTGACCTTTAAGATCCGTAGGCCTCTTGTATTTAGTTCACCTCAATGAAGTTGGGTGGAGCTTATGTAATACCCTTGGCATCCCAGGCTAAACATTTTGGAGCAGTTTTCTTTTCAAGTACTTCTGTGCCCAACATTATTCAGAGAAGCATGGAAGGTGCTTGTAGAGTTTTTCATTGTACCAGTTAAGGTTTCAGATGCTGCAACTTAGCTAATTTTCCACATGAGTAGCTATAAATAACTATAAGTAACTATGAGTAATTATAAGCTGGCTATATTGAGAAAACCTGCATTTATGATACACATACATCAAAGGATTCACGCTGACAGGCTTGCTTCGGATGCTGAATTTGATCTGCATTATTCAGATGAGTGACCTGTTTAATATTTATGAAGCAATGTCATTCTATAATGTCTATAAGCCCTTTGCTAACCAACTTTGCATTGAAGATAAATTTATTGATGCACACTACCAGAGTTGCTTCAGATGCTGGATTTGACATGCATTTTTCCAGATAAGTTACTATGTTAAAGTTTTTGGGGCAGGTCCAATACCAAGCAACTATTAAGACCCACTTGAACCAAACTTGCAAGGATTAACACCATCAGAATTGCTTCTAAATCAGATGTTGAATCTGACCTATATTTTCTTGCTGAATGACCAGAATAATTTTCTTAGAGCAGATCTTTAATACTTACCTGAACCAAACTTGAATGGATGATGCAGCTAGGGATTTCCCTTACTTAACATATGCTAAAAGACAATATTCATTGAGGTGAGCTCTGTAATCTCTGATTACTTATGTTTATTTCATTTAGGAGTGCTAATTCAGCATTTCTTCTTTTAAAGCTAAATTTTGGACTCATTGTCAATGCATGTTGTTTTACAAGTATTTCAGTTGTTTTGTTAAATAAAACTAATATTTCTTAGTATAACTTAAGTACTGTAAATACTTAGTGAAAGTGAAAATATACTTCCTTACAAGTTGTATTTTTGGAAAGTTAGAAAAACTGGTATAAAGCTCTTTGTCTGATTTATAAGGAAGTCTTTAATGTATTGTTATTATCTGGGTGACAAAATAAATTATATTTTAATTATTAATATAAAAATTTAAAAAATGAGAAATCATTGACAAAAAATTTGACATATTCTTCATATTTTACATGTAGGAAAGGATCATTTAATTAAGGTTACTGTAATTAATTATTTTTGATGAAAAGTATATTTGTTATTAAAATTAAAAAATCAAAAATTGATGACACAGCAAATCACTTAAATATGAGAAACATGTAAATGCAGTAAGATATTTATATGAAATTTGCAATAAAATTTATTTAAAAAAAGGTAGTACTAACTTAATTATATAATTTCAAATTCCCCAATAAAATCAGCTGGACAAAAATACAACCATTTTATAAGCTGACTTATGAGTATATGTGGTTATGTACCAAGGTAAGAGTTACCGGTATTAAAAGAATTATGCATTGAATGTTATTCCATCTTCTTCAATTGTCTTATGATTTCATATTAATATGCCAAATACATGTTTGTAGATGTATTAATCATTAAACCATACCATTTTTCTTTTTCCTTTCATTGATTTTGCATAATCAGAAGAATCAGTCCAGTGATATTGAAAAGACATCACAATTAGCAGTAAGTAAAGAAATGTTTCATACAAAATTTGATCGTGATAAACTATGTTGTATAGCTTATTTATTCAATTTTAAGATGATGTTACTGGCATTATGAAATTAATTAAGGTTGGCTGAATAACTTTACAAACTGCTCCAAATTTGCATTACTATATTTATTATTTTCTGCAAAATGTTTTAGTCCCAAGCTGGAAGATCAATAGAGTTGATAACTTTAAGTCTGATGTCTGTCTGTCAATTTTCACATTTCTGACATCTTCTCAAGAACCACTGGGCCAATGTAAACCAAGTCTGTAACCAAAAATCCTTTGCTGAATGTAATTCAAGTTTGTTGAAATGAAGGCCCTGACCTTCTTTCAAGGGGAGATAGGGAGATAACTAAGAATTTGTAAAAAAAAAAAAAAAAAAAAAAAAAAAAAACGGAAAAAATGACATCATTGTTGTAATCATGACCCCATGGGTAGAGTTGGCCCACAATAGATAAACAGATTTTTACATAGGAATATAAGGGAAAAAATTCTGCAGATGAAAAACAGCAATAGTGCCTAAGGTGAGCATTGTGGCCCATGGGCCTTGTTATCTTATTTTTAGTGTAAAACATGGTGTAATTCCCAGAATTTACCTGTAAATTTTTAAGAAAATTCCATCTTCCCTCCCAAATAATTGCAAATCCCAAAAAAATAGTAACCTGAATGTTCAGATTGGTAGCTCTCACAAGATTAGATACAATGAGGACAACATGATATCAATACCTTAATATCTATATGTTTTACGATTGGAAATTCTCATTTGTGTTCTTTTTACTTTAAAGGAGAAGACCGGCTTATCCAAAGAATCTCAAGTAAGTGAAATGAAAAAGAAATTAAAATATTTTTCATAATTTTACAGTTTTAATTGCAAAATTTAAATTATGTATCCATAAAAAGGTCACCTGAGTGACTCAGATGACTTATTGCTACCTGTTTTCATCTGTCATGGTGCATTGTGTGTTAACATTTGGATATTTTAATCTTCTTCTTTAAAACCACTGAATCAATTTCCACTGATGTTATCTACAGGTGAAGGGGTACAAATATTATGAATTCATGGTCCCATTCCCCTGGTGCTAAAGGGGTTGGACTAAAACTATCAAAGTTTGGGCAATCTTTAAAAATGTTCTTTAGTCCTGGACACTAAGCAGTAAAACTTTTGGTATGATTGGAGTTAGCATGGGGCCCTCTATCAAAATTATGAAATTCAGTTCCCCGGGGTTAAGGGTTCTGAAGTTAGGTTTGGGCCCTATTGATCTTATGAAGAAAGTGCATACATTCTTTAAAAGAACCTTTTTATCTTCCCTTGTATATTAAGAAGAAGAAATAAGTGCAGATACATGATTGTATATACTAAGCAAAGATGTCTCTACCAAAATTGTGAAATTCATGGTCCCTGATCGGAGTTCTAATCTTAGGGTGGGGATGTATTGACCAGATAATGTAAATGCATAAAATGTTTGAAAAATGTTTTCTCTTCTCCTGTCTTCTAATATACAGTATAGAGATGTACTGAACAAGGGTGTTTTATACAGATTAGGGAAATTCTGGACCACTGGGTCAAGAGTTCTGGTGCTAGAAAAAGATCTATTCATTCTGAAGGAGAATTTATATTTTCTAAGCATTATTCCCCTTAATTTGTTATTCACATAATAAGTAATTAACATATATAATGTATAATTGATTGGTCAATTTGATTAGCAGAATGAAAGAAGAATTTTAATGAAGAATACAAATTAAACTAACATTTAAATGCCAGGAAGACTTGAAAATAATAGATAAAAATAATTAGACAACGATACCTTATGTTTGTGCATAATATATTCTTCAATGACAAAGAAAGGCCAATGAGTGAGGGATTGTAAAGGGTCAAGCATTATTACATTGTATAATGATAGAGTGTATTAGTACTGGCAAGTAAATAGATATCCTTTATGACATTGCTGATTACTGGATTCGCTATTTTGTTGATCCCTGGTCATTTTATTTCTACTAATTTAGGGTAAGATATCTTCATCTCTAAGTTTATTTTATTTTATTTCATATTTTAGTAGATCCTTTACAGTGTCGTACTTAGGTGACCAGTAAGGCCCTTGGGCCTCTCGTTAAAATGTCAGTCTTAAGTTTCATACTTTCTAATCCTCTTTCTTTTTTCTAATTGGCATTCATACTTAGCATAAAGGATTCCTTGTAAAAAAAATTTCTTTTTTAATAATTACATTGCATTGCTTGATATTGGTGAAAGCAATTCATCTGTGATGTATTTGCGTTACCATGACATTCCTGTTGACCTTGACTCACTCTTCCTTATTTTCTTTTAAATTAATTTCAAAGACTCTGTTAATATTGATGTTTTCATCAAACTCTATACATTGAATCAAATTGGTGAGTGCAACTTAAGTTTGTCCTAGATTATAAATTATTTTGAGAATTATTTTTATCATACTTAATGTAAATGACCTTGAACTTTGAAAAATCACTTTTTTAAAATTTTATTATTCATCCATCTTATAAAATTACTCCATTCAAACACAGATTAATCTATGTGAGATTTTTTAACCATACCAACTAATATGTATGAGATGCTGCATAAAATTGCTACAATTAAAGAGGATGAATTTGAAAACATTGATAATTGACATGTATTTAGCTGTTCAGTAGGATGAATTATCAGCACATCTGATGTTACAGAAGACAAAAACAGTACAAAATATATCAGTCATATGGATAAAAAAGAAAAACTAATTTCCTTTTTTTATATCTTTTGTAATAAGACAGAAGAAATGGTACCGTCACATTTCTTTCCATGTTGCAATACATATACAAAAGTTATATTTGGTGGGGCTTTCCTATTGTGTTGACATATTTTAGGATTTGTTAATGATGTTACTGTATTTGAATTCAGTTTGCTTATTTCAGAAGGGTATACTAAGCTGTTTATATTTTTCATTTAAAGCCAAGTAAAATTCATTGCATCAGCGACAGTTCTGAGGATGACTTTGAAGACCCAGTAAGTTTTGTATTATACACTTGTCTACTGTCTGTGAGTAGGATAAATGTTTTTAAAAAACCCACAAAAGGACATATTCCATTCATGTTTGTATTGGAAAAATGTTTTGATTTATTACATTTTTATGCACATAGGATTTATGATGCACAAGAATGAAAAGAAATTATTTTTATAATAATTATAGAAAAAGAAGAAATCAGAGAAGTGTCCCCAGACGAGCACACCAGAATGTGGAACGCCTTGCAAAATGGTAAAATTTACTTTAATAGTTATTTTAAGAAGAGATTTTTCAAATTCCTATGAAAAAAATGGAGAAATCCTTGTCAGCATGTTGAATGTCCATCCTTTTCTCTGTCCATCTCAGTTCTTTGTTGCATTTGCACAAGAGAGTTATAAGCTGATAATCATAAGATGTGCAATGACTTTCCTGAGTTCACAAAGAATCTTGTAATGTTATGGATATTGAAGTTTGATACAGATCAAACTTCAAATTGTGCTTGCACTAACTAGTAGGATACCTATTTTCAGCTCATCTCTGAGCCAAAGGTTCGGGTGAATTCTTATCAAAATTTTTTTTTTGTCTGTCATCATTTTGATGATGGTGCTAGGGCTTTCATATTTCACTTGTGTATTCATCATGACAAGACCTTTTGATTTGTCAAATATTTTTGACCTTTACTTCAGAGTTTGACCCACTTTAAAAAAAATCTAATATTGGCCATAGCTTTTGAAGAGCTAGCACAAAGTCTTTTAAATTTCACAGGTGTATTCCTTGTGACAAGATATTCCTTTGGATATCAATAATTTTGAGCTTTACCTTGGAGCTTCACCTATTTTTAAAAAAAAACTTTAACCTTTGCCATATTTTTGAACAGTTGGTGATAGGGCTTTTGTATTTTGCAGGTGTATTTCTTATTACAAGGTCTTCCCCTGCATACCATTCATTTTGACCCACTGACTTTGACCTTGGAGTTTGACCCACTGTTAGCAAAATTTTTCTTTACCATAATTTTTGGATCTTTGATGCTTGGGTTTTCATATTTACCAGGTATATCCATTGACACATGTCCTTTCTTTGGGAAATAACATTTTTGATCTCTTGTCCTTGACCTTGGAGTTTGACTTGCATTTGGGAAGCTTTAACCTTTGCCATAAGCTGCCATATGTTTGCTTCAGTGTTTCACAAACACATCTTGTTTCTGTAAGGGTATCGTTTTGCTATTAGTGATGAAATTTGACTCTTTTGATATTGCTTTACTGGAAACTTATGTTTCTATAACATTTCTCTTTTAAATAGGAAGATGATGCTGAATTGCCTATATTGTCACGGTCAAAGGTAAAGAAGTTTTTTTTTCTTTATGAGTGTCGCGTTATAACCCAATATGTGCAGACAAATTTTATTGGTGGTTTATGTGATGAAATATAAACCATTTCTTTTTCAGAACATGTATTTTTTATTTCTTTTTTTTTCTTACAGAGGATAAAGAGAAAAATAAGCAGTCCAGGTCAATCCCCTGTAAGATCACAGAAAAAATGACAACGAACATGCATGTATTTTGCTATGTTTAAGAAAAGAAATTCATACACTGTTATCTTTTGCCAAAATGAAGCAACTGGTATAATGGGAATTCAAGTTTACTCAACAAGTATAGCATATTAAGTTTTCAATGAAGATGAACGATTTCTTATGAGTTGCCAGAAGTTATAAAGTAGATGTACTTGAAAAGCTTTTGCTGTTTCTTACATTCAAGTTTATTTGATTTGAGAACTTTCCTTGCATGATTGTAGTTGATAAAATTGTATGTAAGTACACTTGACAGTGGAAAAAGATTTGGATTTGTTAATTAATTATTTCACAGATTAAAAATGACAGTTTCGAGGAACTACCTGATTTAGCTGTTCCAGTGATGTCAGAGAAGGTATGTTTTTTTAACTTTTTAGATGTGTAATCTGAATTATTAATGCATATCCTACCATTTTTACAACCTGTATTTTTTTATCATTAAAGGATACAGATGGTAATGAAATTGCTGATTCAGAAAATGATAATGACAATGGGGTAATGATTTCTGAAATGTTGCAGTAAAAATTTTCATTAAGAGTGTTTTCTTTTTTACCACAGATTTCTTCATAGAAATTTCATGCATTTTTTGTATAACTGGAAATCAGAAAACAGAATTGGTTCATTTAAAGCATTACTCTTTAACTATTTTCTATATTCTGTCAGTACTCCTAAACATAGAAGAAAATGTAAATCTGAACATTCGGGTATGCCCTTTCTGGAATCCCCATTGTAGAATTTTGAGATTTTTTTCTTAAACTGTACAATATAGTTTTACTTATCATTTATAATTTGAGTAAAAGGTCTATGTTAATGTTTTTATGATTTGTACATCCCCATACTATATCATATAATAAGTATAAATGTATTTTGAGGTAGTTAAAATATCCTGACAGTGGATTTTCATGAAACTTGGCAAGTAGAATGAAAACTGTTCAGACTACACATGCCATAAAAGTAAGGTGTCTCTATTGTAGTTTTTACACCAAAAAAAGTCCAAATGGCTGTATGAAGATATGTCTATTGAATACTTCTAGCATTTTAAGGTTACTGAACCAAAGAAAAAATAATTGTCATTATATGTAAAAAGTACTAGGCAAAGTCTTGCCTAAGTCAAATTTGATTGCTCTAAACCCAATAAGAGTCATTGCTTTAATAAGATAGTAGCAATGTGAAAACAAGAAGTGTTTGTGAAACACTGATGCCCCCGGTATGGCAGCTTATGGCGAGGGTTGAAGTTTCACAAAATGCATGTCAGCTTCCAAAGTCATTGTCAAAAGGTCAAAAGTTATTGGTATCGAAGGGAAGGTCTTGTCACAAGGAATACAACTGTGAAATATGAAAGCCCTAGTGCTAACTGTTCAAAAGTTATGGCCCTAGTGCTAACTGTTCAAAAGTTCTGGCCAAGATTGAGGTTTGGTAATTTTTTTGTAAAAGTAGGTCAAACTCCAAGGTCAAGGTTAAGAGGTCAAATTTGGTGGTACCCAAAAAAAGGTCTTCTTACAAGGAATACACTTGTTAAATATGAAAGCTTTAGCTCCACCCACTGAAAAGTTATGGACGAGGTTAAAGTTTACAGACAAACAGACCAACAGACGGACGTACAGGGCAAAAACTATATACCCCTGAATCTTTGATTACAGGGGTAAAACTATATACCCAAAAAAATCCATTTTGGACAGTGACCAAGGCTAGTTAAATATCTGCTTTTCACCATTCTTCTGTCCATCTGCAGTTCATTTAAAAAGTATTTTTTTTAATTTTTATTTTCAATTACGTATTTTAAAACAGTAAATGCTGAAGTCATTATGTAATAACTCAATTTTTCATTGAATGCCAACATACAATTTGAACTGAATATATATCTCTTAACAGGAAGATGACTATATGAAAGACTTTACTGAGGTAAGTGTTTGTTCTTATTATTGATACTAATGTACATGATATATAGTCCGTAACTTTTCAGTGGCTGGTGCTTGCAAAGAAATATTTGTCTTCAAAGTTTATTCTCTTTTCATCTTGAAATTTGAATTTTAACTTAGAAGTTCTCTTGCCTTTGCATTATGATATCAAAGACCAGGGATTACCAAAATGATATATATATATATGCCTAGCAAATTCACTGTAAACATGGACTTTTGTTTGAACTTTCCATTCATTAAATCATATGGATTCTTGTAGTAGACACCATTTTATTTTGCATTTGTATATTTGATTTATCCAGATGATGCAGAAAAAGAGAGAAAGGCAGTTGGTAAGCATACATGGATTTGAGTTATTGCATAACATGTAATTTTTTATTGTGATTTCTGATTATGTTTTAAATTGATATCTTCTCAGTCATTAAAGTTATGATGGGGAAAATTTAATAAAGTAAAGACATACTTTCATTTTGCACTTAATATTGGTAAAAAAATATTTTTCATACCATATCATAGAAATAAGAATGGGTGTGATCAACTTCATAAGATTAATCAGAAGCTATATGTAAGAGTTGTATATACAAATACTAATGTTCTTAATGCCCTTGCTGTAAAATTGATTGGGCATGATATAAGTAATCCATGTTCAATCAAGGCTGTAAGGGTATTTCCCCTTTATTTTAATTAACTTATCAATATCAAACTGTAATGTTTAGCCCAGACTTGGAATGCCATCGTCTATAGGGCTATGTCACCAATGCATCAGTAACTCAGAAAACAAACATTATAATATACAAGTATGAAGGTTTTACCAGGGTTGTCTCAAAAAACAAAACAAGAGCTGTATGAAATAAATGGAATAACTATATAGGTATTTTTTTCCTTAATACTTAATATTACTCAATTAAATGGTTATATCTGTTGCCAAGCCTCTGGAATGTACATCATTTTAACCCATCAGACAAAGCAAGTACAAAATCACACAATATAGATATCCTCTATTTGATTTTTCCCTATTTCTACCCATTGCTTTTTCACATATCTTTTCAATGTGCATGTCATTTCATAAATGCATATCTATAGTTTTAATGTCTGTTATCCCATCAGAAGTCATACATCTGAGTAATGTATGCAGATAAATCCACTTTCAAAGTAGTCAAAATTTTGAAATAAATGAAAAATGAATTCAATATCAATCTAAATAAATTTAATTAATAGGTTTTTTTTTTTTTTGAAATGCAAAAATTTTACTATATAAACTTTGATATACAACATTTTGTGCACTCTTTGACTTCTGTCACTAAACACATACTCTCTCTCCGAAGGAGTGGTGGTATACTGTTGTACCCTTCTGTGTCTGTTTGTCTGTAACAAATTTGCTTTCTCAGCATTTACTATTTGCAGATTCTTGAAATTTTAGCACAATCTTTGTTTAGGCATGCCATATGGGGGGATTCATTTTTGAAGGATGTCAACTTCCTGCCCATCCCTGTATCTGTCCATACCAAATTCACATCAGATCGGGGGTATTACTAGTAGGCATTGGCTAACAGATTTCTTGTTAACATTATCCAGGAGCTTGTTCATTAAAAAAAACTAGTGTATTGCCTTGTCTTTTTCTGTTCTCAGCTAGCAGAGAGCACTGTGATTGACTTCCCTTCTGACAAAGAAGGTAAACAGGTGTCTGTTGTATACCAGGACCATGGGGGCCTGGGTTTTACCAGGCCATTTAAAACAAGTGATACAGTAAAGGTATGTTTCCTAGAAAGGGAAGATATTTAAATGAATATGTGAAATTTAGATTGCCTGAAACACTTACAAAGCTGAAGAAACAACTAAATAAATGTTCACTGTTTTATGATCTGGGGAACTAAGAGATTGCTGCAGATAATGATATGGAGTTATCTTTATACAAATACTATCAACCTTTTTGCTTCTGCTCTTATTATACCCCCGCAAAGGAAGTTTGTGGGGGGTATATAGGAATCACCTTGTCCGTCTGTCTGTCTGCAAATGTGTCCGGTCAATATCTTTCTTACAGAGGAACATTAGAATCTACTGCTTCACACAAAGATTGTTCATGACCTGAGGGTGTGTCATGACCTTCACCCAAGGTAATTTGGGCAAATTCAAGGTCACTAAAAGAAATAGTTCATAATTAGATCCGGTCTGTATCTTTCTTATGGAGAATAATGTTGGGATGTTGGAAGTTTCCACTTCACACAAAGATTGCTTATGGCCTAAGGGTGTGTCATGATCTTGACCTATAGTCACTGTAGAAATATGCTGGATAAATAATGCATCCATACTTTGCAATAGAGAAATACTTGAAAAATTGTTATTTATTTTTCCAATGTAATAAAAAAAAATGTTATTATAAGTATTGATGTTTTATTAGGCTGCGCCTTAGTTTCATTCATTAGAAAAATAAAATGAGCAATTACCAGTATATTTTCAATCTAAATGTTTTAACAAATTGTGAACACTTCTTAGATCCATCAAATAGTAGTATTAGGGAATTGGCACCTTCTCTGAAAAGCCCTGTAGGGGGTATTTGTCCATTTTGGACAGTTCTAGTTTAGGACAGATTTGAAAAAGATGTTTTTGCTCACATCTTAAGAGGGGCTTAATAAAATCATTATACCGGTACTCACTTACATGTTTAATATGATGTTGTTAGAATGTATCTTTTTTGGTTCACAATTTCAATATGCATTCATCATGGCTTCATTTTTTGCAACATGATTTGAAAAAAAAAAATTCTTAAGAATCTATTATAACAAACACAAACTGGAAACCCTATATGTCATCATAAACTATATTTGTTCATTGTATTATTTATTGTAGAATGTGTACAGTTGGATCATTAGTGAAGTCGATCCAGAGATCCTTCCCCCTGTGTTTCATTTCGAGTGCGCAGCACCTACAAAATGTAACAACAAAACATGTCCGCACATTTATGAACTAGCAGCTGATCACTTGGTCACTATTGATCATCTTCCAGACGTTTTATACCTGCGTGAAGGGGTTAGTATTTCATAAGAAATAAGAATTATATTAGTTTACACGCTATGAACTTTTCCGTATTGCAGATTAATTGTACACATATTAGAGGTGTGCATATTACTTGGATTTTAATTCTTGAGAAAAATGCCAGCTTTTCAACTTTTTTTTGGCATACAGGATACCCAGTTTGTCTGGATATATCCTCCTACAGTTAAAGACATGAACTATCTATAACCCTTGCAATCAAAGTTTTATGGGTTAAATAGAAATTACATTGTCCATCTCATTGTCTGTTTTTCATCCACGTATCTGTCCATCAGTCCCTGCAAAAGCTCATATTTGGTACAGGGATTGCTTATGACCTGAGGGTGTGTCATGACCTTGACCCAAGGTCATTCTGGCAAGTTCAAGATCCTTGGTATAAAAAGCGTAAAATTTATAACAGGTTATAATTTCATAGAGAAATACCAATTCTGTTCACACAAGGAAAACCCGGTTTGCTGTCACATTGACAGCTTTTCACTTCTTTTCACTTCCTTAAGTGAAAAGATCATAACTGTATTCAACCCTCTGGAAGTCCTTATTGTAAATTTTATGACTGTAATACTAAATACATGTGACATTATTTTGAATATTATTGGGGTGAGTGGGGGAGGGGCTGGCCCCACCAAGACGTCTTTTGCTGTAAATTTACCATGAATATTTTCATTAATTAATGAGAGGGTCTTTGCCTCCTCCCCCTTCATTTTTTGTAGTATGATGTATTGAATTCTTGGCCTTTGTATCACAGACTGTGGTAAAAGGTGATTTAGGTGGATTCAATAAAAAAAAAATCAGGGAATGATGGAAGGATGTAGATACAGATAGCTACTATAAAATCCTTAATAAATACTTGCACTTTTGAAGAGCATTGTAATTAGACTAAAATATCTAACCTTGATGAAATAGGTCTGTGCCACTTGTGCAATAAGGCTCAATGGATTTTTTCATTATAGCCAATAACTTAAGTATACTTGCTTGTATATACAAATATATGTATATCATACTTTAAGTACAGTGCCTATTGATAACCTTATGACTATATTGAATGGAAGAAGGAAAAAATACTTAGCAGTTCTATGTGTTTAGTATCTTTTTTAATTTTTGTACAGTGATATTTTTTTTTCTTTTTCAGTGTTTTGCAGTAAATGATACTTTCACAGGACTTGGGGATGTCCTGATTTAATCAGCACAGACTTTAGCGATAAACAGACATGAATAATTGGCAAACAGCTCCTTTTGTAGATTGACTTTTTCTTTCAGCTTGCCTGACCTGAAAACACAAGTGAGCTTTTCTGATCACTTGTTGTCCATCGTCCATGTGTTTGTAAACTTTTCACATTTTCAACTTTTAAAGAATCACTGGGCCAATTTTTACAAAAGTTCGTACAAAGCATCACATGTGAAGGGAATTCATAATTTAAGAAATGAAGGGCCAAGGCCCTATCCAGGGGGAGATAATCAAGGAAAGGCAAACATAGGGTGGAATCATTAAAAACCTTCTAAAGAACCACTGGGCCAGAAAAATTGAACTTTATTTGGTAGCTTCCTGAGGTAGTGTAGATTGTAAATTGATCAGATCATGATGCTGTGGGAGGGATGGAGTGGGGCCACAGTGGATACTACATAGGGAAAAAATTTTAAAACTCCTCCAATGAAGAACAACAAATGTATGATGAATCATATTAATGTGGAAGCATTCTCTGGAATTGTACATTCATTTCTCTACAAATTATTGTCCCTTTATACAGGGTGGGGCGACAAAAGATTATCAAAATTTTATACAGGAATACATGCTTATTTGGGGAAAAAAATCTGATGCAGATTGGCAGGGCTAAAATGACCCAGGGGAGCATTGTGAACCATGGGCTAATGTTTGGGTTAAATTTAATGTTTGTTGAATATCATGTGCAAGTATTATGTCTGATATGATATATCAACATGTGTAATATTTTTGGTTTCAATATCATAGATAGGTATCTTTCTAATATAATTACATGTGGAAGTGGTATGTCTGTTACTTATTTAGAATATCATTTCCTCAGACTTTTTTGTGTTTTTTGGTGAAAGCTCATTTTACATTGAGACATGATTTTATAGTATCTATTATTTGTAGAAAAATGTAAATCATTTTCATGAATTATAAAAACCATCCTTTCTGCACTGTATTTTTTATCAAAAATTAAAGTAGCATTTTGTGTGAAGAGTACTCATTTTCGTTGTGTAAGTGTTATCTTTATAAAATAAAAATGGGTCTTGCTTCTTGTGTTTTTAAGTGCTTCATTGGAAAATATGATAAAATAAATTATGATATCTGTAAATTCAGAGTTGTCCTTTCTTCCACCATTTAGTTTAAATCTTTTACCCTCTTATCAATCCAACTGCTACAATTATGTTTTCGAATAATATTAGTATACTGTGAAAAAAAAAATAAGTTAGTTTCATGTTTGTCCCCCCACAAAACATGTGCGAGGGAATGCAGTTACTGGTCTGTATATGCATCTTTACTGTGAAGATGACACACTATTCAAAACATATATGTACCATATGACTTGCCAGCCTTCAGTTTGATTACATGTAATAGGAGTTGGTGAGTTACTAGCAAAAAAGTCTAATAATTGCTGGAAAAATTAACAGTGAAAAGTTAATTGCAGCTATATATATTTACAACAAAAGTTTTTCAAAATTTAGTCTGTGGGAAGCAGACCATGTGGATGTAAAGAGTACATTGTTGTTTGACCTTTTAATCTGCTACTGAGATGCTTAGGATCTACCAAGGAAGAAAAATAATAAATAATTCTGGGGAACAAATCAAAAACAGTGATTTGGTCTTGTGCGGATCTAGAAAAGGGGGGGGGCGGATCCCTTTCCATGAGAATTTGAAAGTCTGGTAATGTTCTGAAGCCCGATTTTATTTGATAAAATTTTCTAACCCCCCCCCCCCCCCCCGAAAGGAATTGTCAATAAGAGCAATTAACTCTTTTACACTGGTTTAATATTATTCTTTGCATTCAAACAAGTTTTACTGGCCAAATTCCCATTGATATTGAATCAAATGGATGAAATGTAAACGGGAATTAGCCTTAGCGCATGTAGTTCTTACAATACTAAAACAATTACTGATTTAGGAACTTTGACGGGGAGGGTAGAGTAAATCGAAAGAATAAGCATGTCCTCTTAAAAATAAAACATTTATTCCCACATGTCCTTGCTGGCAAATAATTCAATAGCTGTTTTTGAAGGGGGGGGGGGGGTTCACATACGACAAAAGAACATACCTTTATCGGGTTTTGATAACATTCGTTGGTATGCGTATTTATACTAGAAATATTACTGAAAATTATAATAACATAACTTTTGCCTAGGGTAAAATATCTAGTAATATCTTTTAGTGGGTCTTTCTACCCTACGAAAGGTATCTGTAATTGTGATTTTTTTCTTTTATACGTCTCTTATTTAAATCATTTTAATGGATAATGTTAGATTTGTCAAAACATTGGTGGTGGTTGTTGTTGGCGTCCCCATGTAAATTGCCAACATATAATATACAGTAGTGTTCCCTTATTAATGGCGCCTGTGACCTTTTTTATTGTCTAGGGATTTCTGTTGGGTTGTGCCCCCCCCCCCCCCAACCCCAAGCAGGAATTGATTCCTTGCCTGAGGTCTACTGTTTTTACATTGAGTAAAATTAATGCATTGTGTTATGTTTTTTCATTAGTATTTCTGGTATAGATGCTTATATCAATAAATGTTACTCAGGATCCTACTTAAAGCCCCCCCAATTTTCTGACGTTATATAAGCCTTGAATCTCTCCCCCGTCAAAAAAGCTTTTGAATTATTTGCCTGCAAGGAAATGTGGAAATTAAATGTTTCGCATTTTAAGAAGAAATAATCCTTCTATCTATTTATTCCTTCCTCGCCTTCACCGTATAAAAATTTCTGAATCCGACAATTTTTGTTATCATTGTAATATTCCTGCTATCATAGTGTCCTTTACAAAAATTTTGATATTTCTATGCAAAATTTGTATATGACAAATTTTGCATAGAAATATCACAATTTTTGTAAAGGACAATATGATTTATTTCAGTATGCATACTTAAGATATAAAAAGATAACAAAACAGGCAATATCATACATGAACAGTGGCAGCTGGCATTAAGCAGTTGGCAGTAAGCAGCTGCAAGTTGGCAGTAAGCAGTTGGCTGTCGTAAATGGAATTCCATAGTTTTCAGTAACATTGATAAAATTATGAAATGTTTCTTTGTTAATTTTTATAGTCCATTATACATCAGTAAGAAGATTTCTGATAATGACATAGAAAAACTATTTTTACAAAATAATGTGAATAACGGAAAGGTTACGAATTATTGGTCATGTTGCCTACAACATTAAACTGTGAAGAAGCTGTTCAAAAAAGAAAACAATAATTAATAAATCCCCTGGACAGGATGGCTTAATATCATAATTCTATAAGGTTTTCTGGCATAATATAAAGAGCAGTTTCTTTTCTTCTCTACTGAAAGATATTGATATGTTGCCATTTTCGCAAAGAAATGCTGTGTATAAAAAGGGGGAAAAGAAACAGATATACATGTATATATATATATGTATATGTATATCAGTTAGTCTTGCAAACGTTGATTAGACACTACTTCCTCATGTTCTAGCCAATCGTGACTTCCCACAACTTTTTATTAAATAAGAAAATTGTGGGAAGCAAAATCCTTTGTAAAAAAAAATTATTAAATAAATAGAATACATGTAATTAGTAGTGAACAAAGTACATGTACGTATATGAAAGGAAGATACAAAGGGACAGCGCTAAATTATACTGGACATATTTGAAAATTTAAAAATACTGATGTTAATGGTATTTAAATCTTTCTCGATTTTGAGAAAGCTTTTGATTCTGTTGAATAATTTCATGTACAAAACTACAGAAAAAATTTTACTTGGGTGATAATTGTATCAAAATGGTGAAACCGTAATATATTTCACCAATTTCGAAATCTAAAAATAATGGTTGCATGTCAAATTCATGTGAAATATGGACTTTTATTTATTTTCGTACTCGAAATACTAGCAGTTTAGCTAAAAAAAAAAAAATAATGATAAAATAATCGGTTTATCTGTGATATTGTAACCCCCCCCCCCCCCAAAAAAAAAAATACATTCCAATAATTGCATTAATTTGGTGAAAAAACACTTATTCCCCCCCAAAAACAAGCTTAAGAAACAATACCCGAGTTTTGCAAAGTTACACGCCCAAAAAGGACAAATCAGAATGTTTGTTAACGGGAAATTTTATTGAAATCTGTTTAAATGAGAGATATATTTATAGTATAAATCATTAGGTGTATATACCGGTCATGATAAGGATATCTGTTATTGGTATGATATGAACTGCCTAGACAAATAAATTACAGAAACTTGAAATAATACTGAGTGTTTGGAGAAGACAAAACTTAAGATCTTCTGTATATGTACAATAATAGAAACACTAACATTATCTAAATTGGTATACGTGTACAATGATTTTATTTTGTCAAATCAAAAAAAGGGATTTCTTTAAAAAAGATATCAAAGTTAAAGTTTTTAAAAAATAGGCCAAACTCCGAGGTCCCGATCAAAGGTCAAAGTTGTTGGTATCCTAAGTAAGGTCTTGTCACAAAAATTGAATGTGTGAAGTATGAAAGCCCTAGAACCAACTGATCAAAAGAAATGGTCAAGGTTAAGGTTTTGCAAAAGTAGGTCAAACTCCAAGTCAAGGTCAATGGGCTATAATTGTTGGTATCTAAAGGAAGGTCTTGTCACAAGGATTACACATGTGAAGTATGAAAGCCCTAGCACCAACCGTACAAAAGTTATGGCCAAGGTTAAAGTTGGGAAAAATTTTGTAAAACTGGGTCAAACTCTCAGGTCAAATATGATGGTACCCCAAAAAAAGTGTTGTCACAAGGAATACACATGTAACATATGAAAGCCATAGCTCCAAACAATCAAAAGTTATGATCAATGTTAAAAGTTTTTGCAGACAAACAGAGAAACAGACAGACAGACGGACGGACAGGGCAAAAACTACATACCCCCGAATCTTCGATACGTTGGGATAACAAATTTCATGCAGTTGAAAACTTTTCTTCAATATGTATCAGCATATAAGGTTTGATAAAAATATCCTGAATAGATTCCTTAAATCTTAGCTTAACACATATTAAAGGAAACTGAGGTTGGGGTCAAAGGAAATGTCAAGATCAATATGTACCAGCATATGAAGTTTGTGTTTTTGTGAAACACTGAGGCCCCCGCATGGCAGCTAATGGCAAAGTCTAATGCAAGTCAATCTCTGAGATCAACATCAAGGGATCAAAAATGTTGTTACCATGCAAAAGAAGGGACTTGTCTCAGTGAATATACCTGTAAAATATGAAAGCCCAAACACCATCCGTTCAAAAGTTAAGGCCAAGGATTAAGTTTTTGAAAACTCAAAGGTCAAAAGGTCAAGATTACTAATATCCAGGAAAAGGTCTTGTCACATGAAATATATCTGTGAAATATGAAAACCCTAGTATTAACTGTTCACAAGGTAGTGCCAATGTCGGTAAAAGTTTTGTTTTCCAAAATGAGTCCAACTCTCAATACACATGTGAAATAAGGAAACCTTTGCTCTAACCAATCAAAACTTAAGGGCAAGCTTAAAGTTTTTGCGGACAAACAGACAGATGGACAGACAGGGCAAAAATTATAAACTCCCGATTCATTGATTACGGGGACATAAGAAGTGAGGTCAAGGTCAAATGAAAGGTGAAAGAAAAAATGTTAAGGAAGTTGAATATCTCTCTTCAATATATACAATGTAAGGTTTCATAAATGTCATATTACATCGTTATAGGCAAGGAAATTCAAGGATCCTTCAGATCTCAAGGAAATAAGTTCTTGAAAAATGTGATCAAGATCAATGAAAGGACAAGATAAAGAATCATGAAGAAGTGGAATAACTGTCATCAAACACTATATGCCACAGCCATTTTCATGGTGTGTCATAAAAATAAGACAGCATCATAACAAACTGATGCTTTAATCATCAATAAGGTGAACAATCCACAGAATTAGTTAGCGTTTTGAAATTTTAGGAATCACTGTCATTTGGAATGTTAAAAATGTGGACTTTTTAATACGACGTCGTAATTTGTTAAAATCTTATAAATCTAGTAAAGCTATAATTTCTCTAATTTATAATCCTCCTTACTGGCTATCAAATTTTGTTTATCTTCTTTCAAAAATATTGTAGTGGAAAAGTCCTTTTTCCCTGAAGCGCTGTCACCAGCTGATTATCTATCAAAAATCCAATAAATCCATGTAATGATTCTAGTATAACCTCTTGTCAAACATAAAATTGGGCTAACCTGTCCTATTTAATTCTTAGCTAGGTTAGCCACTCTGAAATGCAGCCCTGAACAGAACTCAATCTACAAGACTTTTAGTAATGAAACACAAGTTTATAAAATTAATACATTTATTCATTTCAATCAATAAATAAACAAGCAAAATGTATAACAACTTGACTGACGACTGCACTCATGCACATTTAACAAAAATTTTATATCAGCACAACAACCAGACTTAAAAACACAATAAAAGGGGAACAACTCAGGATCAAGTGGATAAGTCTCAATATTACAGTGATCACTTATATCATGTCAGATCATCTCAAAGATGGAGGCTATCATCAAGTTCATTTTCAACACAGACTATTCAAAATATAGTTTCTTTCATCACCTCTTACTTGACCCTTTCTATTATATTGGTACTTCATGTACCATCAACATGGTTCTGAGTGAATAAACTAAGCTGTATTGTTAAATGGTAAACTATTTTTATTATTTAAATAATTTCTTTTTTTAAGCTTTCAACTTCCAATATTGGCCTACTTAAGATTTATTAAATTGATTTTATAATTGTTTTCTGTCAGTGACCTTGAACTTGTCAGAATACCATGAGTCAAAAATAAGATCATTTAGTCATATATATATTGCTCCAATATCTCTTTCAGTGAAATATACATTGCTTTCGCTTCAAATACTGATGAAGGACGGTAATGACTGCAGATGACATCAAGCGGTTCCTGAATGTCTTTATCTAAATCATTTCTAAAACAGCACTGGCTCTTCAGAAACTTAAACTTTTCTTCATTCACATCGAGAGGATGAATGTAATTTTGACACTCTGGAATACCTGGAAAGAAGTAAAACAGAATAATGAAAACGTTTTTCGTTATAGAATACATTTAGATAAAGCTTGGCAATGCAGCATTAGCCTCGAAAGTTAAATAAGAATCATTCTAGTATTTGTGACCTCAGGCCTTATCTGGCACTGAGTCAGATATTCTAACATTCATTTACGCTAACAGTTTCCATCACTTATCCTGATATCAATGTCCACTGTACATTTTTAATCTAAGGATTATGTTTTACATTGTATCAAAATGAATGAATGAGACAGTGAAAATTTTATGATCCAACTGTTGTGTTTTCCCAAATCTGATTTATTATGATGTAAAACTTTCAGTCCTTTTCAGTAAATTTAATTTTTACAAAATTTTTCGCTGTTTAATTTAACCAATTTCTTAGGAATCAGTTGTGTTCAATTTAGGAAAGCTTTACTGTTTTCCAATTAGATAAACAGGGACAAACATTTGGCTAATATTGCTGTATTTATTAATTCCTGGTCATTCACTGATCTTTTTGATTTTAAAATGAATGTCTTTGTAAAATTTAAAGACTTTAATTCTTGTGTTTTAATCATATTACATTACCAAAATTAACTAACCTAACATTTCTGGAACATGGTAAAGGAGTTCTGGAATACCAGGAACAGTATCTCCCAACTTTTGGTTCCTGATGCGATGGTTATTCCATGCAAATTTAACTTCCTCCAATTCTGTCCTGATAATCTCCATGTAACAATACTGAACTAAGGCCCTGAAAATAAGCACGGCAATGTTAATCTCTTAACTTTAGGGTCCCCAAATGCTCTATTTTAAGTTGAAACTATCAATTTAAATTCCAAAATAGAACATTATGACACAAGTTACAATGCTCAAATTTATCAACTATAAAGATGAAATAGCGAGAGTCATGACCACATTTTTATTACAGATATAATCAATCATTGATTGTTGATATAGCCAAAAAAGACAACAACAACAAAATTATTGAAATATATATATATATAAAAATATATATAAAAATATATAACTAAAAGAACACGTACGTATGTAATTTATCCCCAATTGTGAAATGACCATCCTTTTCCAATTCCTGACAAAAAATATGAAAGGCAGAAATAAATGAAGAAACATACTAATGGGAAAAAAAGAGGTCTTAAAATCTGTCTGTGTATATCAATTTCATAAATTCCACTGTCGTTCAAAATTAATACAGTCAAAAGATCATACCTTTTACATTTCAATATGTAACATTATTGTATGGTGATTTTTCAAGTACATGTACTACTCTCTCGGAAAATATTTAAAACAAAATGTCTTGTTAAACACTGTTGCCCTTGTATGACAGTTCATTGCAAAGGTTAAAAGTTTCTCAAATGCAAGTTAAATTCCATTGTGAAGCCACTCTCAAAAAGTATTGAAAACAAGATTTGTTTGTAAAACACTGATGCCTTGTATGACAGCTCATTGGGGCATAAAAATTACCTTAAAGTGATGAATCCATCTATCGGTACACTTCCCTCTCAGAATTCCCCACCATCTTTCTATTCTCTACAATAACATGACTTATATGTCACTATTTACATATGATCACTTACTATATGAAATTTGTCTTTTAAGCAGAATTATCTTGGGTGCATCACTACTTAACTATAGCCATTATGGCTGGGACAATTTTTCAATGTATCGATAATACTGATTCTAGTGTGGATGATATGCATATCGATACATGTTAAAATTTTGAAATATCATTAACAAAAAATCTTTTTTTTTCTTTGTTTACATAACATTTTGGCTTTAATATATACAATCAGTATGCTATATAAATATATATATCTCATAAGAAAATTAATAACTAACACCATTCTTATGATATAAATTTGTTTTACAACAGATGTACAGCTCATTTGAATAATTTTTTCTAAAGGAAGAAATGTTCCTTCATTTCAATACAAAAAGCAGATTCGACCTATTCAACATATTGTGATACATAATGCATCGAGGATCAAATATCGTGATATGTATTGATATAGAAAATGTTTCTTCCCAGCCCTAAAAGGCAGAAATTATCTGTAGAAATGAAAACAACAACTTTGTTTCTATTCAAACCAAAATTAATGTTTCCATTCGAAAATTCAGTTTTCAGTACTGTAAGACATATTTAATGCCAGAAATTTAACCTGATTATGTGTCGATTTGCCATAAATGAAGGATTTCTTGCTAAAAGAATCTTCTTCATCCTCTCTCAAGAAGTTCTGCATGGCTGCTACAGTTCCATTCTCTGTTCCTATTTAGAATATACCATGTATTTTAAGTTTGCAGAAAAATATTTCTGTACGAGGATTCATTTCAATTGTCTTCTATTGTATTGTATAATTCAAATGTTTTGACCAATGTTGACCTTTTAGACCGAGAGACAAACCAAGTATCAGGAATATCAATATAAAATTATAGCTACTACTTGTTGGACTCATAACAATCCACAGAAACATATATGAAAAGTATTTGTAAATCATGATAAATTCTTTTTAATTCCACTTTTAATCTTTTTAATTTCACTTTTACATCAAATTTCTATCTTCAAAGGAAACAACATAAATAGTTTCTCATTCTAGTCTGGGAGAAGTTGGGGGTTGCAGGAAATTTTGATGCAGTTTGAAATAATGTGAGAGAAATGCATTTTCTTTGAAAAAATGTTAATGATTATTCTCAAAGCATCACTGATATCCAACAAAATGCTTATCATTATGCTATCAAGTTTCTTCAATTACATCCATTTAGACATGTTTGCCAGACTAAAATCAGCTTTCTTTTTTATCTCTTTCTCAAAGCAGCAACAATTTTTAGTCATACAAAAGCATACATAGTATGTATGCTTCCAATACAGTGTATTAAATATACAGTATTAGATGTGTGTATTAACAATAAAATGTTTATGACTGCATGGTTTAGAATTTATACACAAGATTTTAAATATCTAATACTAACCTGCATCACCCCTTATGATATGTGGGTATCCTGCAATAACAAATGTAAATGAACAAATTAATTTTAACGATCAACATTCATTAACAAATGTGAGTAGGTTGAGAGAAAATCTTTTCCTTGTGTCTTTCTTTACATAAAACTTGACAAGAAAACAGATGTGAATTTGATTCATTACCATTTACATGCTCTAATGTGTTCATGAAATATGAAGCTATTTTCTTGGGGTTTTTGTTACTGATCCCTGCTTCACACCAAAGCACGTATCGTGAAAAACTATGGAGAGAATAAATGAAAATATATCTAATTATGCACAGTAAAAAGTTGATACTTTAGAATCAGTCGTTTCATTTACATATATATGTTCTCATAACAAATACACAAAAACATTATATACATGTAATTTACCCATCTATGCAGCCACTGATTTGTATCCCAAATGGACTTAACTTGTCATATTGGTCTTAAAAAAAAAAGATGTTCTTAATGCACTAAATATTAAAATCGAACATAATAGGTGTCAGTATAGTTAGACTGCATGCTTAATCTTTTTATTGATGCTTGCATAGAAATTTGCAATATTTGATAAATAATCATTTTCCATCTTTTCAGTAGTCTCCTTGAATCTAAATCCCAGTAGGAGTCTTTACCTTATTCTGTGAAGAAAACTTTATCTAAGAGGGATTGCCTATTGCATTGACTTGTTTAATTAGTTAACATTTAAACTATTTGATAATTAGTCTTCTCAATCTATCTGGAATTACCAAGATATCATTGCAGTTTCAATAACCAAAAATGTTTACTTCAACTATCTTAAATGCCTAAAATTCTACTATACACTGCACCAACAAGCACATCAAAGTATATTAATTATCACATATAATTTTAAATATTAATTTCACATACCTATATGCCAAATCCAATTTGGACCTATAAATATAAAAAAGTATCATATCATTGCATCATCACTACCATTAAAATCACATATGCTGGATAAATATCATTAATGATAGTTCCATACCTTAATTTTAACTAAATTACTAAAGAATATTGGTCAAATTTCATACTGAATATATATACATTTGTATTTATATATAAGTATATTCCATTTACATGTACAACTTATAATTCAGATATATAGTCCTGTGAAAATTATATCTCCTTAGACAATAGTTCAAGTTTTATATCAAAATGGACACTGAATTTCATTAAAAAAATAAAATAATAAAAATAAAACCTTTACTGATGTACTGTCTTCTTTTCAGTTTATTGCCTTTCCTTGACGAAACTCCTTTGGGGTCCAATGCCTTCATTATATCTCTTACCAGTTTTCTGAAAGTCCCCAAATTTCCAAGTGGATAATTTTACAATTGTTTTTAAAAAAATTTGTACATAACATTACAACTTCCAATTGATTTATCATGGCATTTCTGTTTCTAAGGTAAAGTTTCTATATAATTTTATTATCTCCCCTTGGAACGTGAATTGGATCTCCATTTCATACAATAATTTCCATTCAACATATTCTTAGAGTTAACTAAGAAATGAAAATACTCATATATGCCAAGTCTAACGGAAATGCAGTAATTACTACAAATTCCCATTTTTCCTAGGGCACTGCATGAGAAATATGTTCTAGTTACACATTTCACAGCTCTAATTACCTGTTGGGGACATGTGGTAAAACCTTATTTGCTATTTCACTTCTACAGGTACTCAATAATTTTTTTCTCACTGTTGACAAATTTTGTATCATCAACAAACAACTGCAAGGTCCACAACCCCTCCCCAACTGTACCGTATGTACCTGCATTGTAAGCCTTCCCAAAAAACCCATTTGATTTATCCCTGACAAAATAGAAGCTGCATATAAAACTACTAGCATCCTTAACTTATATGACTACACTCTCATGTCAGAATATAAGTGATTTTCATTCAGAAAATTCAGAATCAAGCTATCATACTGGCCAATGGGTATCAAATAAGTTTTCTATTTAGAAAATACAGTATATTTGTGAAAATAAATATATACATATACATGTATACTGTAATACCTTCTAACAATGTGCCCATATATAACTCTTAGTCTAAAGGACATGTCAGATATGCTCCTGTCTGGTTTTAGATCCATTTCATGCTGAAATACATATAAAACTGTTAAAACAGAAATTTGAAAACAGTTTCATAATGATACATTATTACATTGTTTTCACCTTAAATTTCGTAAGTGTACTTTCAGACTAAATCTCAGGCAGGACTATCTTAATTGAACTTAACTGCCAAAGTTGTCCATGTTCTAACTCAGAAATATTTCAAAAATGATGAAGAGTAATATTCAATAAATAATCCAAACAGGGGACATTCAATTCAAATATCTAGTTCATTTCAACTACATCAATATCATACTGACGTAGGGAAAAATATATCATTTTGAGCCAATGCATATCATATTAGTATTATAGGCTTATACTGAAAATATTTTTTAATCAATTTGTTCCAAGTTTTATCACAGAATAGTTTATATTTTAACTATAAAACCCTTGCATGATGTACATATTAAGTGCAGAGTTAATATTTAAAGAGCAGACAGCAATATTCAATACATTTTTTTTTTGCCTTCCTTTCAACATTATAAATACATGTAATTACCACAAGATATCACAATAACCTGTATAGTTTGTAGAATATCATCAAAGCTGGTAAGTTTCTCAGGTCCTCTCCTGTTGTTCAAGTTTAACTTTGGAATAACTTTTCTCTTCAGATACTCTGTGCTGTAAAAAAAAAAATTGTCAGTTCTAAATGTACAAAATGGTTTCATTAGTTATAATTCAACCAATTTTCTCAATTTCATTCAAGTATTTCAAACTTCTACATTTTATCAAATGCAAACTTAAGGCAATGATTGGAAACAACCCATTAAACTTTCAAGGACTTTTCAACATGTTCACACATGGTATCAAAATGAAATTTCAAATATTTGCAAAACAGACATTAAATGCAAATATACAAGAACAAAAGAATTACCTGTATTGTTTATTATGTCTTGCATTCAATAAAACAGCTATTTCTTTATGTGGTAACCCAAGTTTATGGTAATGTTTAATTATTGACTTTAAATCTACAATAAAGTATACATACTAGTTGAATTTATTCACTCATAGTCATACCAAGATACTGGTACATTATATATAATATACATGTATATCTTTCATTGTACAAATTAGTCAGAGGTACATATATATATATATATATATATATTATGTACATTGTACCATAATTATGTATAAAAAAGGGTGGGAGGGGAAGGAGAAAAATCAAGAAAGACAGATAGGATAATGAACTTTCAGGATAAACATTATACATTTTTTGACTGGATTCGAGGGCAAAATGTGTTTTATTGGACACAAGAACCAAACTGTTTATCTGAGGTTGTTACACCGAAGCCAAACAGATTTATTTGATGGTTGACAAAACCTATTATGCCCAAGAACACAGTCAATAACTGTTTTGTTACACCTTTTTTTTTGACGTGCAATATTTTGTGCCGTATTCCGTGATGTAAACTGAGGTTAAAGTCTGTCAATTCTGTCATTATCAACACCAACAAATGCAAATGAGATTCAGCTTATCCCGCCCATTGTGTGATTTTTGCAGTCCAACATCTCATTGACAGGTCCAATATCTCACTCAGGGGTCAAACATCAATTTTTTATGACCCCTCAGTAAAACATCATAAATGTTAAGATTTTTTTCCGTATAGATTTGTATAGGAACAAATTTTTAAAAGTAAAACAATATACATTTATTGACTAGGTTTGAATATCAAAAAGACTGAGGATTAAATTTAAAGCTTTACCTTCATCCATTACCAATTTTCTTTCTAATCTGTTGATGAATTGACAATTCTTAGATGACACACTGAAAAATTATGAAAATGCAGTTGAGTAAATCTGATGCATGTTCATAAAATCTCAAAAATTAAGTTGATGTACAGGGATTTCTTTATCCTAAACAGGCCATTATATCCTATTTCATCAACTGGACATCTGGGAACAAAATGGAGCATAATTTAGGCTATATAACTTTATTTCTCTGGTTCTCAGGCCCATTTTCTCTAAAACAGATGCAGGAGGGAGTCTTTTTTAACATTTTATTGGCGATGAAGTAGACGATGGAGGTATTTTTTTTAACCTAATTTTCTAAAAAATAATATTAAAAATTTTTTGATCATAGATATACTTTCCATGGCTGATCAATAGGTGTGCATTATCCATACCTTATCAAATTGTGTGAACATTGTAGGCATTAAATTCAAATGTATTTTTAAACAAAGTAGCCAAGTCTCTTTGAAAATGGCTACCTGAAGTGTTATTTGAGTACTAAACTATGAGAAAATGAGGGAGGAACTTTTATTCCAGATTGGTCTCCGCATTACCAACTATTTAAAATAAGATAAAATTTGGAATGTGCCTACCTCAAATTGAATCTGCGTGGGCCTCAGAACTGTAGTTTCAATTTTATTTAGCCTAATAGTGAGCGCAGTGAGCAGCGCAAAGCACTGCTCATCACTGCAAGCTCTAACAACGCCTGTGCGAGTAGGCAATTCAGACTACTGCACATTTATTCAATAGAATTTTTGGACACAGTAACTCTAAACCAACAATAAAATGCTTTTTGTTCTCGCAGCTTACTTCATTCTCACAGTAACAAGAACTAAAAATTACAAAAAATAAACTCACCTTAATTCAATACAGTAATAGACATTGCTTACAGATAGTAGATTAAACGTTCTTTGTTAAAATTTTGCACTTTTAAAACTTCATTTATGGAAATGCAGTAACATACGATGTCATGTGCCGTCACATGCTAGACTTTCCAAATGTCTCGTGAAGTTTCAAGAGGTGGATCTTAAAATTAAGTGAACAATGCACTCGCCCCAATGGTCGCACCTTCAACATATCAAAACTCTGTCTCTTACACATCCTACCATCTTTTAGTAACCAGGGATCTATGTGCTTAAACTACAAACCACTGATTTAACTTATTTTCTACTCATAATGTTACCTTCACCATGTTGAATAAATTTTAATGTATAATATACTTTTTAAACAATATTACATAAAAGCAGTCCTGAATTTACAGAATTTCAAAATTATCTTACGCAACTTTAAAATGATGTTACAACATTGCATGGGTTTGGGAACATTTATAAATGACATCATTTAATCTGATGTAACTAGGTTACTATTAGGATTTAAACGACCAAACTTTGAAATATTATTCATCAGGGCAGTGCCATTAATTTCAAGGGAAAAACTCATTTTCCATTAAAATGTCCTTAAGACCCCTTTTCCCAGAGAGCGGTCCATATATATAAAAAATGATAATATGATTAGTTTAATAACCTTATACACAATACTTTTTTTTCAACAACAAGTTGTTTCTCCGAGTTACATGGTATCTATAGTCATCATATCATTATATTACTATACAAACTTAACAATGAGCTAATTAGTTACATGTAAATTGTACTTATGTGTTCTATGTGTATTGATATGTACTCATAAATAATTTAAATTTGGTTGTAACACGTCATTTGATTGGATAAAAAATTGTCTATATTGTATAACCTGCATTTCTCGCATCAAAAACGTCTCAATCCGCTTGACGTTACATTTACAATTTGCTCAATTTGAAAGCATTTTTGAAAGATAATTTAACTTAGTTTCGATACTTCATAATGGACAATGAAATCATAAGGGATGAATTTAATAGCTACCCAAGTTATACTGGTATAATCTGAGTTGGAGCAGTTTACTCTTTTTTTATGAACAGCTTTGCCGTTTATAATGCATAAACTGCCCCAACCCAGGTTATACAGTATAACTTGGGTAGCTATGAAATTAATTCCTTAGTTGTTATATGATATGCCCCATGAGGCCTTAATTTGGAAATAAATTTTATTCTATTCTGTAACTGCATGGTTTCTAAGCTTGTGTCAGTTGTAGTCAGGTAGTATCTTTCTCAAACACGTAAAACAAAAACTCCTGTCAGATTATTGACGTGATTCAAATCCTTGATACTAAAAGTAACATTTATATAATATATGTGTCAGATGCATTTCAATGCAAAATATAATGCAGTAGGTCTTGATTAGGGAGTAATCGATTTTTATGAATGTATTGTGTAACATATTGATTCTTAATGACCTATAAAATACCATATTCCTTCCTGTTCTTAAATAGCCTTCTTTTAAAATTTGGTATACAAACGTTTAAAATGAAGAGACAAATTCGAATTTCCTCGATAAAAACTACAAAATGCGTTTCATTGTTGCTGTTCATACAAATTATTGAAAAGAAACACTACGTAAAATACATTTTTAGAACAGCAAACTAAAATTCAGGAGAAAATTACCTGTATTTACATTAATAATTCTCAGCTGAGGCGAACGTCTAGCGGTTTCTCGCGACCGGTTTCTCGCTGTTAGGGAAGCGCTTAAAAGCGATCTTGACTGCGTTTGGAAGTCACATATCCTGGCGCAATGCAATCTTGACTGCGTTTGAAGAAATACATCCTGACTTGGCCAGGATTGACGCTTGAATAAATCATGACTGCGTTTGGAAGTCATACATCCTGGCGCAATGTTATCCTGACTAGGCCAGGATTGACGCTTGAAGAAATCTTGCCTGCGTTTGAAGAAATACATCCTGACTTGGCCAGGATTGACGCTTGAAGAAATCTTGGCTGCGTTTGGAAGTAATATATCCTGGCGCAATGCAATCCTGGCTGACCAAGATAGGATGGTCATATGTTGTCAATCCTGACTTGGTCAACATTGAATCATGACCTGGCCAAGATAGGATGACCATGTTATCAATCCTGACTTGGTCAAGATTAAATCATGACCCGGCCAAGATAGGTTGGTCATGTTATCTTGACTTGGCCAGGATAGGATGGTCATGTTATCAATCCTGACTTGGTCAAGATAGCATGGCCATGTTTTAAATCTTGACTTGGCCAAGATAGGATGGCCATGTTATATGATGACCGGCCAAGATAGGATGGCCATGTTATCAATCCTGACTTGGCCAAGATAGCATGGCCATGTTATAAATCTTGACTTGGCCAAGATAGCATGGCCATGTTATATGATGACTGCGGCCAAGATAGGATGGCCATGTTATCAATCCTGACTTGGCCAAGATAGCATGGCCATTTTATAAATCTTGACTTGGCCAAGATAGGTTGGTCATGTTATCAATCCTGACTTGGTCAAGATGATAAAAATCATGGCTTGGTCATGTTTGAAATCTTGACATGGTCATGATTACCATCCTGACCGGCCAGGATTGATTTTCAATGAAATATATAGAACATGACATGGGGGTCCCCTATGGCTTTCCATAAAGTCAAGATTTATAACATGGCCATGCTAGCTTGACCAAGTCAGGATTGATAACATGACCATCCTATCCTGGCCAAGTCAAGATAACATGACCACCCTATCTTGACCAGGTCATGATTTAATCTTGACCAAGTCAGGATTGATAACATGGTCATCCTATCTTGGCCGGGTCATGATTCAATGTTGACCAAGTCAGGATTGACAACATATGCCCATCCTATCTTGGTCGGCCAGGATTGCATTGCGCCAGGATATATTACTTCCAAACGCAGCCAAGATTTCTTCAAGCGTCAATCCTGGCCAAGTCAGGATGTATTTCTTCAAACGCAGCCAAGATTTCTTCAAGCGTCAATCCTGGCCTAGTCAGGATAACATTGCGCCAGGATATATGACTTCCAAACGCAGTCATGATTTATTCAAGCGTCAATCCTGGCCAAGTCAGGATGTATTTCTTCAAACGCAGTCAAGATTGCATTGCGCCAGGATATGTGACTTCCAAACGCAGTCATGATTCGCTTTAGTATGGTAATATGTAAGCGCTTCCCTAACACCGAAAAACCGCTAAAATGTGTATTGGGTTTCCAGCCTCCCCGTTCGTCTCAGCTGACAAGTAAGGTAAGTTCAGGTGATTTTTCCCTTATAAATCTTTATGAATAGCTTAGTTTGCTGTTCTAAACATGTATTTTACGTAATGGTTCTTTGGAATAAATCATATGAACAGCATTCCAACAATCGGAGACATTCTGCAGTTTTCATCGAGGAAATTCGAATTTGTCTATCGACACATTTGTTATACAATTAAGATAAATGGCTCTTTAATTTTCTGTGCAGTTAAGAACATGAAGAAATATGTTATTTCATTTGCATTTAGAATCAAGTTGTTTTACAATACATTCAAGAGAAATTTGCTTAATACTTTCATTCAATTATAGAACTCTGGGGCTAAATTGGAAGGGGGGCTTCATCCTGCTCTATACAGATAAATTACAACACCTACTGCATTATATTTTTGCAATTTAAATTAAACGTATCATTTATGTACATTTTTTTTTTCTTTTTAGTACCACGTAACAGTAATTTGTGTGTACTGAACCATCAACATATTAAACTGCAGATCCATACCGGCCAAGACTGGTGATAGATATGTATAGGTAGGTTTTCTTTTACTTCTTGTAATTTTGGGCAAATACATTAAACTTGAATTTTAATTATGTCTTTTTATGAAAAGATGCTTTTTATACATGTATTCATATTAATTTAAAAAAAGGTAATTAGTAGCAAACAATGTTTGTGTAACTTCTTGTATTGAAAATAATATAGTTTCTTGAAAATTTAAATATACATGTACATGTATTCTTTTATATTATTTGTAGATACACATATATATGACTAATGCATGTATATTAAAAATGTATTAAATATTAATAGTATTTTAGATTGACGCATGCTCAGCTGACTGGGGACTATGAGTATGGAAAACCATTTTGCAGAATTAGGAATGTGCAGCTGAAAGTGGTACACTTCATTTACAAGCATTTCAAATTTATAATTGTCTATATATACTTTCTGTTTGTTTTAACGAAAAGGAAACCAGCAATCATACATAATGGAATTACTTATACAGATATATTTTATGTTTTCTAATGTCAAGGTCAAAGATCAAAGGCCAAGACTGATGTCAGCTTGAAAGAAACCACTCTGTGTATTGGATTTGCGAGATAAAAGATGATGAATTATTGCACCAGTTTCAAGTCCAAAGGTCAGTACAGTAAAACACGGTTAATGTGAACATGCTTACAATGAATTGATGCTTATAGTGAATTGATTTTCATTGCCCTTGGCTTTAAATCACATTGTGAACTTAGCAGATATAACAAATAATGTTTGTAATGAAGTTAACAACTTGCATTGAATTTCATAATTTTTTTAATTTACATATATAAAGTAACAAGATGATAATCATACAAGTTTCTATTTGTATTGCTAATCATGTATTGTTTCTTCTTATTCGAAGATCGAAAAGCACCATTTAGGTCAAGGTCAACTCCAAATATTGGTTAAAACCTAATTTGTACCAACAACTGATTCCAGAAGAGGGCAGTCTTGATAGGACACCCATAAAATAGCTAAACAGGTATAGTTTACCAATTTCAAGTTCAAAGGTTTGTATATTTATTATGCCCCCCTTTGAAGAAGGGGGAGCATATTGCTTTGCTGCTGTCTTTTGGTCGGTCGGTCAATTTGTCTGTCTGTTGGTCCACCAACAGTTTCTGTTCATTTTCTTCGCAGAGGTTGCACATACTGAAATGAAATTTGGTATACAGATTTATCATATGAATATCTAGGTCAGGTTCTGTTTTGGGTACGATCGAACAATTGTTGACAGAGTTATGCCCCTTGGACTTAGCTTTCTGTTCATTATCTCTGCAAAGGTTGAACAAATAAACGACTGATATATCATGAGAAACATGTTTTTGCCAAAGATGTGATGTAGAAGACTATTTCTCTTTGATGCATCTCAGATAGTACTAGTAGATGACCCCTATTGATTTTAAGTTCAAAAGGTCAATTTCATTTCCATGTACACTGCCCATAATGTATACTGCCCATAATAAAGGCTTGTGCACCCTGTAGCATAATGTATGTCCTGGGAGGGGGGGGGGGGGGATAAGTGTTTCACAAACATCTCTTGTTTAGATTTAGGTATAAGGGGCCTGTTTTACAAAATAACTAAAGACTAAGACCAGAGACATACATGTACAAGCAAAACACAGCGATTCACAACTCAGCCATTATTAACTCACCTGAGCCAAAGGCTCAAGTGAACTTTTCTGATCAAAATTTGTCCATGGTCTGTCGTTGTCATCTATAACTTTTTTTTTCCAAATTCCTCCCCTTCACAACAATCACTGGACCAGTTTAAATTAAATTTGGTACAGAGTGTGACTGGGTGAAGTAACTTAAAGTTTGATCAAATAAAGGGTTACATAAATTCTTCCAAGGGGAGATAATTAAGAAAAAGTAGAAATTGGGTGAGGTCATTTAAAAATCTTTTCAAGAACCACTGGACCAGAAAAAAAATGAAAATTACATGAAAGCTTCCAAAGATAATGAAGATTCAACTCTGTTCAAATCATGACTCCCAGGTTAGGGTGTGACCACTATGGCCAATGAAAGTTATATATATATATATATATATATATATATATATATATATATATATATATATATATATATATATATATATATATATATATATATATATAATCTTTATAAATCTTCTTCTCAAGAACTGTAAAGCCATGATCAGACATATTTATTTGGAAGCATCCTCTGATACACATGTAGTGTAGATTCAAGTTTGTTCAAATCTTAACCTCCGGGAATAGGCTTGTACTGCAGGTAGTGATCAATTTAGATTTTACATGGGATTATATCTTAAAAAGAATCTGCTGATGAACATGAAGGGCCACAAATATGCAGGTGGGCATTGTGACCAATGAACCTTTTTTTTTTTTACTTTGACCTTTGTTATGTAATAAGTATAACTGCAATCAAACTTATACATCTGAAAGCAATATTTTTTGGAATAAAAGACAGGATATTTGCTAAGAGAATGCGAGGGCTTCAAGAGTATAAAATAAAATCAGCTATAAAGTAGCAAGATGGAGATAACAATGGCATTTATTCTATGAATAATTTTTTTGCTTCATTTACATGCATTATGCATGGACCCAGGAAATTTTTTCCAGGGGAGGCACACCTAAAAAAGCCTCTCAAAAAAATTGACTATCTAACTATACAAAGTTGATAAATTTGAACACTCCAGGGGAGGAGGGGGTGTTATAAATTCCCCCTGGATCCATGCATGATTTATGACTTGTATTTTTTCATTAATTACTTCTACATATTGTATGAAAAGTATCAATAGTTACTATATAGGAAGGTGACATACAAGCTGATACAAATATATAAATCCTTCATTTGAATTCAAAATGTTAGTTAGACTAAAGATGATAGATGATTTTTTTTTTTAGGATTGATGTGGAAGTCTGGATGCTTAGCTGTGCCACTGATTTCATTTCCTGTGGATGTGTGCTTGGTGCAATGCAATAAGGACATATAACCCATAGAATTCACATGAATAATATGGAAAGAGATTGCTTTGGCAAAACTCATTTTATATATTTTAGAATAACTTTGTCAAAGACACTTGATATGGGTTTTAATGAAGCACACTTACTTTGGTATTGTTAAGTTAATTGGAATATTTTCACTTTGTATAATAGGTTGACAATTGTAGATTTCATTCTCAGTCAAGATTGATATTTATGTTTTTATGTTTTACATCCAAACAATAAACTCTTTTGTTTTGGACAAAAAATTTATTTAAACATGAAGACTTTATTCTGAAGACACACCCAAAGAAACAATTATAGGTTATTAAGGATAAACAACACAAACAAACTTTTTTTTTTTCAAAAATTCAGATATCTTTGCTAAATTAGGTGCCTTTCTCACTTTGGAATTAATATCTGTATAGTTAAACAACATAATTTTTAGCCAAGGTACATTATTTGGCAAAAAGTGCAAAAATGCAACTTTACAGTTCAATATGTTTTTTGAAAAGTTTATAAAATGTATTCAGTTTTCTTGCTTCAAAGTTTCTGGGGAAATTTTCAAGAGCCTATTTTTACATTCTACTAAATTAAAATTTATTAATTATATTTCCATTAAAAGAAATATTGAAACAATACCAGTGTTACTGTTCTGTGTGGAAGATAAGAAAATTTGTTTGTGGTATATATCTTTATGAGTGTCAGTTGCTCAAACTCAAAAGGTCTAGATTATAAAAATGAAAATAATGTGGGACCTTGTATGTCTGTCCATTTTTTTTAATTGTACAAGTTTAAGGCCATCTAATATATATGATTCATATCTGGCCAGTTTTTGAAAATTTATTGGGGGAATGAATGAGCATGAACATTTTTGATCACATATGAGAGTTTCATGCTTCCTGGGTAAGATGTTCTGATGTAAGGGTGGGGTTCTATAATATAGTGAAAATGCATTAATTATATTAAATAATCCCCTCTGCTTCTTAGTGTTGATCACAAAGGCTCAAAGTGCTATTGCCATTTGTGCGGTGTGTGTAAACTTTTTAGAATATGGGCTATATCTCAAGAACCCCTTGGCCGATTTTTGTCAAAAAACTGGGTACGTTACATATAACAAGGCGGCCCTGTCTCCAAATTTGATTCCTGTGGATCTGCTTTACTGCATGGTTCATGTCAAATTCACTAACCAAGAATAATCCCCAATATAGTTGCACACATTCACTTTCTATGTAAAACCACAAGGGGAGACAGGTTATAAGATGTTACTTGCGGATTCCTGATTGATGGGGCGATTCCAAGTTTTTCCTTTGTTTAGCGTCCACCCTAAATTCGAAAACCTGTCTTCCTAAGGCACGTAGCAAACGGGGGGGGGGGGGGGGGTTGATGGCCCCCACTACTTTTTTCCAATCATAAATTTTTACTATTGAAAATGTTCATTGAAAGGCCAGCCCTCCCCCCCCCCCTTTTATTAGAGTATAGTCAAAAAGGGTAACATAGTAGTGTAAGAATAAGACTTGGTACTGAAAGAAGTTTGAAACCTAACACCAACCCCCACCCCTCCACCCCCAAACCCGGAATTTTTTTTTTTTTTTTTTTTTTTTTTTTTTTTTTTTTTTTTTGCTTGTCAAGTTTTTTCCAGGAAAGTTGAATTTTTTTCTCTGGGCTGCCCCCCCCCCTTTCAAAAACGCTGCTACGTCACTGTTCCTATCCGAGAAAACACACAAACCAAAAGGGGAAAAACACAACATTTTGAGAACAATTCTAGAATTTCTTTTTATCATTTGGGACCTCTCCTCGCAATAAAACTAAGTTTTAAACTTCTACTTTATTGAAATAAAAAATTAATATACCACTTAAAACAGAGAGATGTCAATCCCAAAAGAGTAAAATGCATCTCAGGGATTCGTATTTGTTGATTTTAATTTGAGTTAACTTGTGTTTCCGTTTCAAAGCTTTGTATTATTTGTCAGTTTTAATTTGCGTTTGTTTTTAATTTCATAATCTCAAAAACCAATCCGACCGCATAAACGCTGAACATAAAAAAAAAAACTTGAAACGGCCTATCATAACGCGCGTTACAGACTTCGAAAATTTTTGCTTCAAATTAAAACCGTGTATCTCCGAAGCCTTTTAAAAAAGGGGTATGCGATTTGTTTAGATCCATTTCTCGACGAACAAAATATTTTCTTTAGCCAATACTAATAATTTAATATTTTTTAGAGACAAACACGATACTTTGCATGTACATACTTATTATTTTATTAACAAACTCGAAAATTACATGTTTAAATCTGCGCAGTGAATTCGACAGGAAATGCACATGAATTCTCGGGAGGGGATTCAAATTCAGAAGGGATTCAGAATGCTCTAGTACACTCTAACGGGCATAATTCCCTAAAACTAAAATTTAAAAAGGAAGGATATAGTATGTGTGTATGATTTATCCACGTCGGCTATGAAAATCTCCGCGTGTCGTCTTCAAAGCAATGCAGCATGAAGCGGCAGACACTTGCATTGATATCGATCAGTAAAAGATCGATCAACGGTCACAGTCGAGTGGAAATTTTTTTTATTGGTCCTCATTAAAGTACATGTATAACTTGATTATCAGTAACCCCTCCACCATTTCTATTTCTGTTGTACATTAATGATATTTGTGATGATCTAGTTAATAATATAAGACTTTTTCCTGATGACACTTCTTTATATGCTATTGTAGACAATGGAAATGTAGCACAATCTCTTACTGATGATCTAGAACACATTGATAAATAGTCAAAGAAATGGCTAGTTTATTTTAATCCTAACAAAACTGTGAATTTAAATTTTAGTAGAAAAAACCTTGTATATTCTCCTGTTAAATTTGGCGAACACGGCCCAGATATTATTCAGAAAAATTCTCATACTCATCTAGGCTTACATTTTCAAAGAGATGCCACGTGGACATCACACATACAAATAATTCATGAAAAAGCTACAAAAAGATTAAACATTCTTAGAATGTTTAAGTATAAGGTTACACGTAAAACACTTGTTAAAATATATTTTGCATTTATTCGACCTGCAATGGAGTATTCTGATGTTGTTTGGGACAACTGTTCTGAAAAGATTCTAAACTTTTAGAAGACATACAAGTTGAAGCAGGCAGAATTATCACTGGATTAAGATGTAACTCTTCTCGTTCAAAATTGTATGATGAACTAGGATGGGATCTTCTAAAAACAAGGATAAAAATTCATAAGCTTATATTGTTTTATAAAATTATTAACGGTTATTCCCCTCAATATTTGTATGACTTGATTGAACCCTATCGCCCATTAATTCATTCTTATAATCTCAGAACCAATGTTGTGCAATTCAAAATTCCTAATATTAGAACAACATCTTAAATGGAAAGTTTTCTTCCCTCTACAGTCAAACAATGGAATAGCTTGCCAGATTATATTAAAAATGCTCCTGTTCATTTAAGAGTCTCTTAAAATCCTATTTTTGTAGAAAAAGTAATGAACTTTTTCATTTTGGAGTAAGAAAATATAATATAATACATTGTCAGATAAGGAATAATGCTAGTAATTTGATGGCAGATTTATATAATCAATGTTTAGCAGAAACTCCAATGTGTGAACATTGTGCTGGCAGTATTGAAGATGCCTATCATTACTTTTTTGTATGTCCAAGATATACAATTCCAAGAAATGTACTTTTTCAATCAATACATACAGTGGCTGCAACGTTATTGTTGACAACTTACACGAACGATCACGTTACACGAACGATTCCGCACGATTAACGCGCGATAAAACCTGTTACACGAACGATCCCTCACGCACACGATTCTACACGTTACACGATCTTACACGATTGCTAACGCAAACGCACGATTCTTCACGCAAAATAGTTCAATTTCTTTAGGAATGGATATTTTCAAAACGAAATAAGCCTTAATATTTATTTTAGATTTCGAATAATTATTGATATTATTTCATCAACTTTGAAAAATAATAGAAAAAATAGAAATGGATATTTCTGAAACTAAATACTTAGATAACAAATAATTATTTACGTAATTCTCCGACTTAAGAAAACTTTTTTCCCTTCTATCAGAAGATGCACCTGTAGGTAGACCCTGAGTTTTGATTGAATTAGATTTCATAATATGCAGAAAGGGATAAGTCTGAAAAAAAAATTGGCATGAAAATGAATTAAATAATAAGTTTGATCCATGTTTCCATTTGTGAATCTCTAAAATCAACAATTATTTTACAAATCATTTATTTGCAGAAACTATAAAAATAGTTAAAAGTAAGCTCCAGAGATAACACTGATAAACGAAACCCCGACAATCATGTCGTGTACATGTACCTTCGCGGACTAAATATTTATGTAAGCGTAGAGAATTGTTTATATATTTATTTGTAAAAATATCTAATTTTGATATATTGATTTTAAAAATATATTGACCATAATTAGCAGTAAACATAATTAACATCAGAGAAAAAAAATCCTTAAACATCTAAGTACGGTTTATCACAAAAAATCACGCGATTTGACGAGAACACAACATTGTACGACTTACTGTATTGCTTATTTCCAAGCGATAATTAGTTCGTTCTGCTTTCAATTATGTAAATCGGGTTTCATTCATTTTATTTGGATTGAAAAAAAATTAGACAAGCGAAGTGCTTGTATAGTAAATAACATTCCGATAAAAACTTACAAAAGGAAATTTACACGTTTCTTAACGCACGATCACGCACGATTAAAACCGCAAACGATTGAGTCTGATACACGCACGATCTCGCACGTTACACGAACGATCACGCACGTTACACGAACGATTCTACACGATTGGTTTGTCAACAATAACGTTGAAGCCACTGTAATATTATAAATTGTGACCATATATCTGAATGTGATTTATTGATAAATGGTAATTCTAATCATGGACTTGATATTAATATACAAATATTTGAAGCTGTACATATATTTATAGCAGCAACAAAGCGATTTATATAATCACTGTCATATACATATGTGGTATATTGTAATACTCTCAATATTTCCAAACCGGTACTACTTTGTACTCTTGCTTATTTTTTATTATTTTTCTTTTTTCTTTCCTTTTGTAATTTTGCTTCTTTTGCCTTCTGTAACTTTGTTCATTTTT